ACTATATATGTGTGTATATATATATATATATATATATATATATATATATTCACTATTTTCTAGAATAAACTCCTATATCTAATCTTCTGGCCCTACCCTCTTCATTCAACTTTGTTTCCTATACCTCCTCTAACCTAACAATGAGCTCTTATGTGTCATTTCCTTGGCCTAAGAATAGGCCAAGTCCTACCTCTCCCCAGGTATTCCCTCTTCCTCTAGAGATACCCTAGCTTTTGGCACTTTATTACTGTATGGTGTCTTATTGTTTTCTAATAGATTGTGTCCCCCTTCTCTCCCCTACTAAACATAAACTCTCTGGGAGCTGGAGAGAAAGCTCCAGAAGATCAAGGAACATGCATTTCTTGCTCATCACTGTATCTGCTGTGCTTAGCTTACAATGACTGACCAAGAAAGATGCCCTAAACACACACAATTGTAATTAAGAACTTTTAAAATGTCTGTCTCCTCTATTCCATGAGGGCAGGAATTTTTGTCTATTCACTGGTATTTTTCAAGTACCTAGAGCAATGTTTAGCACATAATAGATGCTCAACAAATATTTGCTGAATTAAATTATGGATTAGGATTCAGGAATTTTGTCTGCCTTGTTTACCACTATGTCCACCATTCTTCGCATAGTAGATGCTTGATAAATTTATTGAATGAGGGAGGCCACAATCATGTTGTTTGCTTTTTTTATATCACTAGTCACACTGCTAAACACGTGGCAGAAACTCAGTACATACTTGTGACAGGTGGATTGAAAATGAGACTGTCAACTTGGATGGATTTAGAGTCAATCATACTCAGTGATCTATCACAGAAACAAAGAACAGAGTATCATATATTCTCACTCATAAGTGGACCTTGAACAATTATAATACTATAAGAAAGCGATTGGCAGCAGTGGGAACCTGTGGGGGGGGCGGGATTGGCATTTGAGGGAAACTGTTAGAGGAGGGAGGGGCATACCTCATCAACAAGGGTTACCTGCATAATCAACGTTTGTATACCTAACCCTGAAATGTACCCCACATCTTTATAATAAAAAAATTAGTCTATCAATTTCTCAACAAACTCATCTTTGACCAAGCCTCCAACAACAACCACTGAGGAGAGGAGAACCTATTCCGTTAAATGGTGCTGGGACCCCTACCTATCACCATACACAAAAATTAACTGTAAATGGATCAAAGACCTAAACATAAAACCTCACCTATAAGAATCTTAGAAAACACAAGAGACACCCTTATGGAAATTGGAACTGGGAACCAATTCCTATTCAGAACACTAAAGGCCAATACCTTAAGAAATAAGATAGACAAGAGGGACCTCATCAAACTAAGAAGCTTCTGCAAATTAAAAGAAACCATCAAGAGAGCAGGGAGACAGCCCATAGAATGGGAAAAAAAAGATTTGCCAACTGCATATCTGACAAAGGCCTAACATCTAGGATCTACAAGGAACTCAAACACACTGAAAGGAAAAATACAAACAACCCCATTAAAAAGTGGGCAAAAGACATGAATAGACACTTCTCAAAAGAAGATGTATGGGCAGCCAACAGACACATGAAAAAGTGCTCAGCCTCACTCATCATCAGAGAAATACAAATCAAACCCACATTGAGATATCACCTAACCCCAGTAAGAATGGCCACCATTAATAAAACAAACAACAACAGATGCTGGCAAGGTTGTGGAGAAAAAGGTATGCTTCTACATGGCTGGTGGGAAAGCAAACTAGTGCAACCTCTTTGGAAGATAGTGTGGGGATTTCTGAAAGAACTAGAAATTATCCAGCAATTCCCCTATTGGGAATATACCTGGAGGAACTCAAATCATTCTACAAAAAAGATACCTGCACACGCATGTTTGCTGCAGCTTTATTCACAGTAACAAAAACATGGAAACAACCATGCTGCCCATTGAAGCTGGACTAGATTTTAAAAATGTGGTACATATACACAATGGAATATTATGCAGCCATAAAGAAGGACAAACATGGATTTCACAGCAACTTGAATGGATTTAGAGTCGATCATACTCAGTGATCTATCACAGAAACAAAGTACAGAGTACAGTATGTTCTCACTCATAAGCGGACCTTGAACAATTATCATAATACTATAAGAAAGGGATTAGCAGTAGTGGGAAACTGTCAGGGGTGGGGGGTGGAATTGGCGATTGAGGGAAACTGCTGGGGAGGGAGGGGCACACCTCATCAACAAGGGTACCTGCATAATCAACGTTTGTATACCTAACTCTGAATTGTAACCCCACATTTTTATAATGAAAAGAAAAGGAAATGAGGCTGACTAGGGCTTGCTTCTGAATTTTATATTATCATAAGTACAATTCTTTCCCTGATGATAGAGAAGGGGTTACCAATTTGCTTACATGCAAAACGGAGAAACCCTTTCTACAACAGCTTAAAATTGTTTTCTTCTACAGTCACTGATGTTTCAAGAGATGGAAATGTCAACTGTGAGAGGAGGAATACTGTAGGGAGCTGGTCTGTACTATGGTTGAATACTCTCATTATCAGATACTAAAATGAAAAAAGCTCACTTAGTGAAGAGAAATATAGTCTTCATCAGAGACCACTGGGAAACAGCTTAGCAATGGCTATGACCTTGCCATGCATATACTTGTATCATCTAGATTCGCTTAAACAGTCTTTCATTAAAGTCTCTCTAGGAATGTTCTCCTTCCATTCTCAGTATGAGAAACCCTTCTTGATTTTTCAGGCAAGAAGCACATGGTATTTTGTGTAAACAACATTATCTTATCAGAAACTGAAGTCCAGAGAAGTTAGGTCATCGGTGCGAAGGTTTTAAAGTGTATCTGACCCTGTACCATATAGATGGCAAGGCAGCTCAGAATTGGGGAGTCTAAGGAATTAAAAGCAAAATCTCCAGGGAATGTAAAAATCAGTGATACTCTTCTCTCCTTGGAGTTTGTGAAATTCTTTTTCATTCAATTCCAATGCCATGCTGAGTCATAAAAAGAAGTGTTTCTCAGTGCAACACGTCTCCCGAGGCCCTTTAACCAGCCTCTGTTAGTCATCACTATACTCACAGGCTTCGAGCCAGTACCATTCACACTTCGCCCTGTTCTGCAAAGCAGACAGACTGAGTTCTTCTAATTCCTATGTTCCTTCTTTCCCATCTCTCTAAAATCCTTCTCTGAGGAAGGAACAGCTATAGCTTTGGGGATAATATAGCTTTAAGGAAACTTTTGGCAGATGCGGACGTCCTAACATCTGGGCAGTGTTAACAGAATCCCGGAGGTCCAGGCAGACCAGGAGTCACTCGTTCTAGGAATGTTAAAGTAGAAGTTTTATTTATTTATTTTTTTCCAACTGATGAGAGGAGCAGAAAGGACGGAGAAAGAGGAGGAGAAAGGAAGAGAGCACAAAAAAACCCATAAAACAGGTAAGATCTGCAATTAACCCCTCCACCACTACACTACCCCATTTCATAACTGTAGAATGGACAAAGAGACCCAGGACATGGCTAGGGGTGGAGGTGGCGGCAGAGGGAGAAGTTCTTTTGTGAAACTGGATCATGTGCTGCTTTTCATTTGTACTGTGACCTGGCTGCAAATACATGTTCCCACTACCTTCTCAGCCCACAGCAGAAGGATGATAGATACCCCAGTGAGTCAAGTTTTCAGTCTAAGAGTGGGGAGGAGCTGGGCAAGTAAGAAGTCACAGACTCAGAGTACTGGGTCTGAAACATGAAAGCCCCTACTTAAGAACAAAGGAAATGGATGGAGGCTGGATGTGGGAGAAGGGACAGTGATAGTTTATCTAGCTGGTCATTGTCCTGGATCTCTGTCTAATCTCCTCTTTCTGCTGCTTTTGTTGCATCTCTGTGCTTTTATCCATCTCTTTCCTTCAACCCTGGCAGATTTTCTTTTCTTTCCAGCTTCCTTCCCACATCTTTCTACTTTCTTTGCCTCTTTCCCGTACTCTCATTTTTTTTTTCTCTATCCCGCTTCCCTGCCATTCTCTAGACAAAAATCTGAAGCCAAGGAGCAATGAATTGGAAAATGAATCTTTGTCTTTCTTGGACTTCACATTTCCCTTAGAGACTCTGGCCAGAATCTGCCATCTTTTTGTTTCTCCATTTCTGGGACTGACTCCTCCCATGAGTATGGCATTTCATTGAAAGTATGTGAGTGAATGGGTGCTTGCTGAAATGTCCAGTGGCCAGTTTATACCAATGGGCAGCAAGTCGTAATACCATCATTTATGAAGTATTTGCCCACTGTGAACCACAAAACTCTCATCCCATTAGAGTGAGGACAGGGCAGGAATTGAGAGGGCCATGGGATCTTGCTTACAATCTCCTCATGGATCTCAGTAGGTTCTCCCCTACCTTGCTGACTTTCTGCTGGCTCAATAGAGTAAAACTAGAAGGTTAGGCTGGACTGGAAAGCCAGAAGCCACTACTAAACCACTAAGCCTCAAAACCCAAAGCTGAGAACAGAGCCAGAGTATAGATACTGCCTGAGAGACTAGAGAAAGGAAAGAGTCAGTGCTGTTTGATATAAAGTTGGTAATAATATTGTCTGTTATTTATATTGATTACTTTCTTATGTGCCAGGTATTAATCTATTCTATAGATGCTATTATTATTCCCATTTTATAGATGAGAAAACTGAGGCTCAGAGAGTTAAGAAATTTGTCCAAGACCCAATAGCTAATAGGTGACAGAATTGGATTTATATATAGATCTGTGTAACTCCAGAGTTCAAGCTCTTAGACCATGTATGCGAATACTTTCCCAGATTAGTGGTTAGGAAGCATTAGTTGAATGGACAAACCCTAATGTCAGCCTTTAGGTCACCAGATTCTCTCCTGGTTCTATGTGACTTTATGTTGGCTTTTTCCTGGTCTTGGTACCCTAATGTCCCTTTCTATAATTTGGACTGCAGAGCATTTGCATCTGATTCCACCAGGATCAATTGAAAATGGATTGTTTTATGTCCTGTTGCTCCTGGGAGGAAAAGGGACTATAAATAAAAAAGTTTTACTTTTATATAAAGTGGAAGAGTCATATGAGGGGAGTAATATAACAGGCATTCATTAATTTTTAAATCTCTCTTTTTCCTCACAGATCTCATATTTCTGCTTCCCCTCATTTTTGGAAATCTATTGGTGACTGACTTCTGAAAGTCATTCTCTTTTGCCCGGGTACTTTAGGCCTCATACGTCTACTCTTGTCTCCCTAACCCTGCATCTCAAGGATGATCAGTCAACTAACTCAAAGAGGAGCACTCTCTCTGCTGCTCTTCCTAACTCCAGCAGTGACACCAACATGGTATGCAGGTAAGTTCTAGGATTTGTTGTCCATTATTTCCAGGAAGGGCAGAGACTAGTCTAGTCTAGACAGAGATGTAGAGAGGGAAGAGTTAGACTACAATGAGAGATCTCTATCATAGATACAGAGAAGAACTATTAAAGGACAATAAAGATGGTTAAACATTGCAACAGACTGCCAAGGGAGGCTTTTGAGGCCCTAACAAGAGCTATTTGAAAATGGACTACAGCAGCACAAAAACAAGAAGATTGAACAACATAGCCTTTGAGACCATTGTCTCACCTACTTCTGTACTCAGTTTCCTAAAAACCACTTTCTAATATGAATTCCTTTATGATTCAAATCTTTATTAATATTAATTCCTTTATGAGACAAATAACCTCGTCAAGACAACAAAAATAGGACTTAGAAAAAATAAGGGAGACAATCTATTCAAGGGAAACAAGAATCCATCAGACTTCCTTCCTTTCTTCCTCCCTCCTTTCCTCCTTCCCTCCCTCCTTCCTTCCTTCCCTCCCTCCCTGACCTTATTTATAAAAGGAGGTTTTTATAGCCCCTTTCTGCCAAAACTGTTAATAATAATACAGATTGCATGATCTTTGTCAGGAATTCCCCAGTTTCTCCTCACTTGTTAATTTACTTCAGACAGAATAGAGATTTCTGGATTCCTGAACATTTAACCCTTTACCCCTGGAGACATAGGGAGCCTAAGAGAACAGGCTCAGTGAGGAGAGGGAAAGGGTGAAGGGAAATAGTGAGGGAAGGATAATGAAGTTGAATACAGAGGTTTTTGATGGGGCCCAGCTGGCATTCCAAGTGCTAAGAATATTCTGTGGCCTGCAGTGTCTGCCCTCACAGGGGCTGGGGGAGTGGGGGAAGGAGACAGGCCCAACCAATGGGGTTAGGAAAATATCCAGAGAAGTGTAAATAACAAACTGCTCCCATCACAGCCACAGTCATTGCGGCTAAAATTTTCCACATGCCCTTAGCTCCTGGTGGAGGCCTTTGGCAGTAACTCTGTTTGTCTGGAACAGCTGCATCAAGCTTTCAAACAAATATGCAAACTTCTTCCCCTCTCTGGCTTAACCTGGCTTTGTAGGGGGTGAAGCACAAGGGCTGACACTGAGATGAAAAAATTCAAGTCAAGCCCTTGGCAGAGTACATGCTGTTTGGGGTTAAAGGAGCCCCAAGTCTCCAGGGGATAATATGCAGCTGTCCTTCACAACCTCCCCTTAGCTTCAGTTCAAAGACCGGAACCTAGCCAAAGACCACAGGACTAAAGGAGTGGAGATTAGACGGCTCAAAGCCCAATTTTGAACACCTGTATGAAATCTCATGGCATGCATGGCCTTTACATTTCCCAGGATGGAAGCCTGAGCTGCTGGAGTCCTGAGAACTGGGCAGTTTTTTGTTTTTTACAATTTAGATTCATTTGAGGTTCTCAGATTCATTTGAGGTTCTCAGAGAGTTGTTTGCAAAGATGGCACTCCCCACCTCCACATGAATCACCAGGGTCACCACTCCTTTTGAGGAGCCCAGGTTAGTAAGGTCTCTGACAGTCCTGCAAATCTGTTCATTCTGCCCTCGTCTATTCTTAGGAGGCTACATGATGAGAGACATTTGAAGTGCCAATGATCCTCTCCTACATTGCTAACTCAGCTGCTGGGCTTGCCTCCATGCATTTGTTCATTCATTCATTCATTCATTCAACAAATATTTATTGAGCACTCTTTATGCATCCAGGACTGTTTTTTGGTTTTGGTTTTTTTATTTGTTTGCTTTTGTTTGTTTGTTTTTCCCACTTCTATACCTTTGTCCTGAAATGGGTATGGCACAAGGAAAGCAGCCAACTGTGGATTCAGGGCGAATCAGAAAAAGGGTCTAGGAATAATCAGCAGGGGTTGGGAAGGGTTAAGAATATACATAAAGCAAAGAATGGGTTAAAAGTACATATTGGCATATCTGTATAGCTCTGGAAGTCAGACTGCATTTGTCATCATAAGTCAAGCATTAATGTGGACCTAAAAATAGTCTTCAACTATCAGACATTTTCAACCATACCTTTGTGAAAGGTAGTGCTTAGAGGGCCTAACCATGCTATGGAGATTGGAGGAACTCAGTAATGTACCACACAGTAACCAATCACTGCTTGATCTAAAGGAACTGAAGAGTGCTGCCAAAGCCCTCTCTTCCATATCTGAAGGGGAACAAGTAGGTAGAGTAATGTAGGGAGTGTGTCCCCTGGTCTCATTCTTATACTTCCACCTCATTGTCCTAACATTTGTAAAAAAAAAAAAAAAAAAAAAAAAAAATATATATATATATATATATATATATATACCCAAAGACAGGCAAAGAGCAGAAACAGAAAGGTTTAAAATGTCAAGATGGTCCAAGCCCATTCCAGTCACAAAGCAAACTTGGCACTAGTACAGTTGCCTCTGCGCTCTGATGGAGACTGTAATTATCTGACTGAATTTTCCTTTCGTTGTCCCACATCCCCTATAATTCTGGAATGATGTAAAATGCTTGGTGGTCTTCAATCCCACACACACAGAGTAAAAAGCAAGATTGCAAGAAAGATTTCAGATTTGTACACCAGCTGGATATTGTCAGAAGCTCTCCCCTAACCACCATCTTTAGTAGAGTGTGTTTGGTGTCTAAGTGTCAAACAGACCTGGGCTAGAATGCCCACACTGCTACTTATTAGCTGGGAGACCTTGAGCAACTCCCTTGATTCCTCTGATCCTGCTTCTTTGTCTGCACATTGGAGAGTTTTAGTAGTATATACTCCACTGAGACATTATGGTGACATAATGAGCTAACATGTGTAATGTTCTTAAACACAGAGTAGAGCTGAGTGATAGCAGCAGTCATTGTTGTCATTGTTGTTGTTAGTGTTATCCAGCCATGGGTCTCTGACACTCCAGTTTTTCCTTTTGGTATACAGCCGTTTGCTCCCTGCTGAGCATTTCTTCACAAGCTAGCTATGTAACAAGAGTGGGAAGATGTAATGCTTTAGGGAATCACACACACATCTGGCCTCCTGCTTACAGGAGCTGTGAGGCTTTAAGGCTAATACTGAACTGAAACAGCTGACAATTTCATGCTCCCAATGAAGAAGCCTCTCATGTGGGAAAAGAGAGAGCAGGGAAGATGAGTCTTAAGGAGAAATAAAGGAAGCCAGAAGAAGAGCTGAAATGGGAAAACAGAAAAGGAAAAAAAGGGGGGGGAAAGCAGAAAAATAAACTATTTTCCCTGGAATGAGGGCAAACCAAAGAGAACATGATTTCATAAGGCAAACTTTCAATTTGATTCATTCCCTAGTTCACCAAGTTGGACTGGTTTCCCAACACCCCACCCCACCCCCACTCCCAGTCTGGGCTTGTGGGAAACAGAGAAGCTTCATCATCTAGCCCTCTGCTCCACCCTTTATTGCAAGGGGCCCTGTGCCTCTTCCCAGAGAAGAGGCAGGCAAGCCTGTGGACTGAGTGTTTACACAGGCCAAAGGGCTTCAGCACTAAAATCCAGCCCTGTCCTGGAAGCACACCCTCTCCTGGAAATGGGGAATTGTCTTCTGACTTCAGCACTGCTGGCTGCCCTATTCCTGTGTGTGCATTAGGGCTCAGGGAGGCTAGAATGAGGGCTTCCAGAAACTTCGCTCTGGAAAGGACCAAGTTGTTTTCCAATTAGTTTGTATTCATGACTGATTTCCTGCCGTCTGGTGGAACATACTGTTTAGTCTCCCAGACAGCTACAGACCTGCCTCCACCAGGGACTGGACCGCTTAACTGGATGGAGGTAGACTAAGAATGTTCTCTAGCTCAGCAGCTCCCTGCTAAAGCTCCTGCTGATTAGAGAGACAGGAAATTTATCCAAAGGACTCTGACTTCTCTGTTCTTCAAATCAGGTCAGAGTGCTCACGAAACTGTTCTTATTTCCCCTTACCTTTTGTGCCATCACTCTCTGGTCTGGCTTTTACCCCAGGAATGGCGATCCAATGGCAAAAAGGCTTGTGCCCTGTAGGCTAGTGGGAGCTTGAGTTATTGTTTTTTCCTCTAAGGACTGTGAGCAGGACTGCCACTAGAAGAAAGACACTGCAACTCTATTTTTCCTCCTACCCAGGACCACAGTCCATTCTCAGAGCTTAGTCATCAGTGTCTCGCCAAGATTCATGTGTTGCATCAATAACATTGGTCATTTAAAATCCAGCTTAATAAATGGTCAAGAAGCTCAATTTTTTTCCATATTTACCCGAGTCCCCACCCAGGACATGGACCACCATGTCTTCAGGAAGACACAAAGATGGATGGGAGGTGGTCGTAATGTTGGGAAGGACTCGAGTGAGAAATCAAGACACCATCTTGATATTGTCTTCTTCATTCTAGGTTCGGGCTACTATCCAGATGAAAGCTACAATGAAGTATATGCAGAAGAGGTCCCACGGGCCCCTGCTTTAGACTACGGAGGTAATCCTCCTTGCTTCTTATGCTTAGAAAGGCTCTATTCTGGTCTTAGACCTAGGCCCTTCCCTGAAGCAGTCTCATCAGGCTTGGCTTATATGTGCCAACAATGCATCACAGGGAATCAGGAGTTGTGATTTCTACTCACAAACTTGGTTACTGACTTGCTGTATGACCTCACTGCTCTAGCCTGAGGGTTACCCATATTATTAAATATTAAGTATTGACTGAGTACTTACTCTATGCCTAATCCTGTGCAAGGTAAGATAGGGTTTTGTTCTGCTTAAGGAGCTTGCATGCTGTTGGGGGAAGGGGGATTAAAATTAGCAGATGTAGGGTAATTAAGTGTGAAGCTATGTGGTAGCAGTAAATGCAATAGGAGTTAAGACAAGAAGTCAGGAAAGGAGTTGTGAAAGATGGCATTCAGGCTAGGTCTAGAATGATGGGTGGGATTTTTAGTACTAGAAAAGGGAAGGGAGGGCATTTGGCAAAGCAGATGGCCAAAGATATGGAGGTAAAAACAAACCTGGTAGAGGAGGGTGCTAAGGAGAAACCAGTCTGACTAAAGGAGATGGAATGTGAAGAGAGTAGTAGAAAAGAAAGTTAAAAAGTGAAGCTAGATTAAGAAAAGTTCTGTGATCCAGGGACCCTTTAAGGAGAGGCAGGAGGACTATCTGTGAAGAATTCTGAATAGCTATTCCTGAATTAAAAGGAAAGTTAGGCCAAATGATAGCTAATATCTCTACCTTTTCTGATTCTCTGTTTCTGTGCTGTGCAAGTCATACAGAAGAGTTTAGTCATTGTGCTAGAAGCTCTAAGGAGCTATCATATGTTTTTGCACAGAAGAGTGACACAGTAAATGTTCATTTCAGAACATTAACCTGGTTATGTTTTTCTGTACAGAAAGCAGGGATGCAGGAGGGTTGAAGCCTGATCCAGGGAGACTCTCCAGGAACCAATTATAGAAATGTTGGCTAGAGATGATTGAGGGTAGTAGCAAAGAAATGGAGAGTAAGGATGAACCCCAGAGATATTTTAAAGAAAAAGATGACAAGACTTAGTGCAGATCTGATATACCAAGGGGCTAAAGAAGAAATTGATGTCTGAAAACATTCCGTCTGAATACCTGGGAGAACTGTGAAATCCTTCTCAGAAAGTCAGCGTTAAAAAAGAAAACTCATTTGGTGAAGATGCCCTATAGGCAGTTGGAAGTGGAAAAATGGAGCTTTGTGAGTCATCAGCTTAGGTGGATGAGCTGTCTGAGGGAGCAGAGGGCCAAGATCAGAGCCTTAGAACACATTTACAGAAACAAGTAGAAGAGACGTGAGCAAGGGAAAAAGGATCAGTGGTCAGTCATGTAGGAGGAAATAAGGGTAGTGTCTTGTCATATTCCAGAAGCCACAGAAAAAGTTTTCAAGAAAGGAAGGGATAAAAGATCAACTGTGTCCAGTATTGCAAAGAGATCAAATTGAGGGGAAATATTTCAATTTGCAATAGGGAGGTAAATGGTAACCATTGAGAAAATAGTTTTAATAGAGAAATGATCAGAGCTTGGGTTCATTTATGCACCTTTCTAGCTACCTTCTACCTATCTTCTTCTCATTGCCAAAGGGTTCACATTCGCTGTCTCTGTCTCAACTAACTCCTAAACTGCCTACAATCTGTTTCCCACCCACCCACAAATCTCCAAGCTGAAATGACATCTCTTGAAGAAAACAGTTCTCTCCCAATGATGAAATCACATGACCTTTTCTTAAGCTTCAGTCTCCTCAGTCTCCTAGTGGCAGTGAGCACATCCCTTTCTTCTTAATCCCCTTTTGTTCCATGGCATATCACTATTCTGATCATAGCTGAAACTAAAAAAGGAGAGGAACTCTCCGGAAGTGACAATAGAGAGAATGAGACTGGGATCTGAACTTTGGACAATACGGATCTGTCTCTCCTGATCTCCCAGACTACATCTCCATCTGCTGCTAGATACTTCCATTTGGAGATATCTGAAGCAAATATCTTTCACCTTGCCTGAAAAATGTTCTACCAGCTGACCTTCCTACTTCTGATAATGGTACCATCATTCCCTTAGTTACTTAGATTTCAACATACCTTAATGTCATCCTCATCACCTTTAACAACCCCTTTTCCCTCATTACTTTTCACCTGTCACCAAGACCTCTCATTTTCTTTTATTAATCCAGTTGCCTCTAACTGGATTCTCTGGCTCATGTTTCTCTCTCCCCCAAACCTAGTGGCCCACTATGACCATTTTTAATCAGAATCTGGCCTCAGTCTAGCTTTGCAGCCTTCTTATCTGTTTCCCCCACATGAAATCTGTGCTTCAGACAGGCTGCTCTACTCCCAACTGTGTCAGCCCACACTGAGCTTTCCCTAACCCATTTATTCTCTCACTGAATATTGATTACTTCCTATGTACATCTTCTGAAATAAATGTTTATTGTCTAGACCACTCATTTGGCCTTCATTATGCACTGCCTCTTTGGTTTACTTTTATTACCCTCAACAAAATAGTTATCTATTTAACAGAAGGAGCTATGTATGTCATACCCACAAAGCCATATAAAAAGTAGATGCTGACCATTGGCATCCTGGGAACAGAAGTCATATTGTGGAGACTATACAGGGGAGAGGTGGGTAGTAAAAAGCAACAGATGCAACAGGTATTTTCACAGGGTCTAGCAGCCCTATCATTAACACTAACCTTCTTCATTGGTTATTTTTAAATGAGCATAAAGCCCTTTAGAAAAATGTAAGCTACATAGTAGCCTTTGTTCTGAGGTCTAGTGTCTCATGGCTCTCTTTGGGACTTGGTCACAGGGCATAAAATGAATTGAGTAAGGTTTTCAATGATGAAGGGGAGGGAGTGGACAGGAAAAGTACAACCTGAGGTCCCAGCCTCACATGTAATATCTTTGTGACCTCATAATCAATAGCACTGCAACTGTAGTGCTTAAGAACTTTCCATAATTTGGGTGGTGTCTACAGATGGCAGTCATGTGTCACAGTCACATGCTCAAAACTCATGCTGGAAACCACAGTATGTTGAAGAGGTAGGAGACGGTGACTCAAGCTCCAGCACTGACTTAGGGAATATTATTCACGGGGCTAGATATTTTACCCATGCCATTTCATTTGATTCTCATAACAGCCCTATGGAACTGATTTATTATTCTCCATTTTACAGATCAGGAAAGTAAGCTCGGGAAAGTTCAATGCAGACTCAGAGTTCAGAGGTGGCACAGCAGGAATTTAAACTCAGTCTGACTCCAAAGCCATGTTCAGTCCATCTCTTTCATCAAAAATATAACTCACTGTTTAAGAAAAGAAGAGCTGGCCAGTTTTTTTAAAAAATCATTATTTTAGAGCACACTGCAATGTCATTTGCTGTATTTTCGCTCATCTTGCACTTTTTGTCATGCCCTTATCCTGACTCCTACTTGGAGGCAGAAGCCTTTTTCTGAAGCTTGCCATCTGCAGGGCTGCTGCTTTCCTCACAGCTTGATCAACCCTGGCAAGCTAGTCATGCTGCCTGAGTTATCTGAAGATAATCACAAAGAAGGCTCTTTCAACTCTGTTGTCAGCACTATCTTTTCTTTATACACCTTAAAAAGAGATAGATGAATAGCTACAGAGAGCAGAGGCCATGGACCTGAGTTCAAATCCCAGCTTCTCCACATTTTGGCTTTCTGACCCTGGACAAACACTTACCATGTGCCAGTCCCTGTGCTATTTATTTTATAAAGGTTTTTTTATTTAAATAAATTGTGTAGTATTTAGAAAGACTTCTAAATATATTGCTAAATGTATTTAAAAAGCAATGGAGGGAACAGTGGGCATAATATGCTACCCAATATATTAAAAGGGGGGAGATAAGAAGCTATACTAACATTTGCTTTATATGCATAAAGAAACTATTAACAATGGTTCTTTGGGAAGGAACTAAGTGGGCGTGAGTGTGGAAGTGGGGGTGGGAGGGAGACATTTTACTGTGTAACTTTTTATGCTTTTGAGGTTTTGAGCCATGTGGCTATATTACCTATTTAACAAGGTCAATGTTTACTTCAAAATAGCAGCCTATTTTATATCTGCAGATGCAGATATTGTGGTTAGAAAGAACATAGGTTTTAGAGCAGACAAAGCTAGGGTTCAAATACCAGCTCTGCCCCTTACTTGCTGAGGGACCATCAGCAAGTTATTTCCTCATCTGCAAAAAAGGGCTAGACACCTATCTACCTCACAAGGCTGTTGGGAGATCTATATGAGATGATGTGTGTGAAAAGGAAACATGTACTATGGTACCTAGAGCACAGTAGATTCTCAATAAAGACTGATATATTTGCTACCAGATATTTTTCTATACAGTATTTTACCACGTTATTTTTATTGATAAATAATATTTTACAAATTTATGGGGGTACATGTGATTGTTACATACACAGAATGTTTAATGATCAAGTCAGGGTATTTGGAGTATCCATCACCTTGAGTATTTATCATCTTTATGTTTTGGTATCATTTCAAGTTCTGTCTTCTAATTACTTTGAAATATACAAGCCAGGCTTGGTGGCTCAGCCTGTAATCCCGCACTTTGAGAGGCTGAGGTGAGTGGATTGCCTGAGCCCGCGTGTTCGAGACCCACCTGGGCAACTTGGCAAGACCTCATCGCTACAATAAATCAAAAAATTAGCTGGACGTGGTAGCACACGCCTGTAGTTCCAGCTACTTGGAAGGCTGAGGTGGAAGGATCGCCGGAGTCCAGCAAGTCGAGGCTGCGGTGACCAGGAGCCGCCACTGCCCTCCAGTCTGGGCGACAGAGTGAGACTCCAACTCAAAAAAAAAAAAAAGAAATATACAAAATATTGTTGCAAACTCTAGTTACCCTAGTCTGCTACCAAACATTAGAGCTTATTTCTTCTGACTGTAAGTTTGTACCCATAACCAAATTCTCTTTATCCCCCCTCCCAAACTCCTCTCCCACCCTTCCCAGTCACTGATATTTATCATTCTACCATGATAAAGTTTTTTAGCTACCATATATGAGTGAGAACATGCAATGTTTGTCTTTCTGTGCATGGTTTATTTCATTTAACATGTGACCTACAGGTCTATCCATGTGGCTGCAAATGACAGATTCTTATTTTTTAAATAGTTAAATAGTATTCTATTGTGTGTATATACCACATTATTGTGTGTATATACCACATTTTTAAAATAGCCAAATTGTATTCTATTGCATGTATATACCACATATATCTGCTGATGGACACTTAGGTTGATTCTATATCTTTGCTATTATGAATAGTGCTGTGATAAACATGTGAGTGCAGGTATCCCTTTGATATGTACTGACTTTTTCTTTGCATAGATACCTAGTAGTGGTGTTGCTGGGTCATAAGGTAGATCTATTCTTAGTTTTTTGAGAAATTTCCACATTATTCCATCGTGGTTGTGCTAATTTACATTCACACAAACAGTGTCTAAGAGTTCCCTTTTCTCTGCATACTCACCAACATCTGTTTTTTTTTTACTTTTTGACTCCTTTTTTTTTTTTTTTTTTTTTTTTTGAGTCAGAGTCTCACTCCATCGCCCAGGCTGGAGTCTTCTTAATAACAGTCATTCTAACTGGGGTGAGATGACATCTCATTGTGGTTTTGATTTGCATTTCCCTGATGATTAGCAATGTTGAACTTTTTTTGTATAACTAATGGTCATTTGTATATCTTCTTTTGAGAAATATCTATTCATGTCCTTTGCCCATTTTTTAATGGCATGATTTTTTTTACTGTTGAATTGAGTTCCTTGTATATTAGTCCTCTGATTGATGAACAGTTTGCAAATATCTTCTCCCATTTGAGAGATTGTCTGTTCACTCTGCTGATCGTTTCCTTTGCTGTGCAGAAGCTTTTTAGTTTAATATAATCCCATGTGTTTATTTTTGAATTTGTTTCCTGTGTTCTTGAGGTTTTAGACATAAAACGTTTGCCTAGACAATGTGCTGGTAAGTTTTCCCTATTTTTCATTTAGTACATTTATAGTTCTGGGTTTTACATTTAAGTCTTCAATCCATCTTGAGTTGGTTTTTGTATATGGTGAGAGATAGGTGTCCAGTTTCAACCTTTCTGCATATGAATATCCAGTTTTCCCAGCACCATTTATTGAAGAGGGAATCCTTTCTTGTAGGTTCTTGATGGCCTTATCGAAGATCAGTTGACCATAAATACGTGGGTGGATTTATTTCTGGATTCTCTGTTCTGTTCCATTGGTCTATATGTCTATTTTTATACCAACACCAAGTTGTTTTGGTTTCTATAGCCTTGTAATATGTTTTAAAGTCAGGTAGTGTGATGCCTCCAGCTTTTTCTGTTCCATACGAATTTTAGAATTTTTTTTCTATTTCTGTGAAAAATAACATTAGTGTTTTGATAGGGCTTGCATTAAATCTGTAGATCACTTATGGAAGTATAGTCATTTTAGCAATATTAATTCTTCCAATCCTCCAGCATGGGATGTCTTCCCATTTGTTTGTGTCCTCTTCAATTTCTTTCATCGATGTTTTATAGTTTTCAGTGTACAAATCTTTCACTTTCTTGGTTGACTTTACTCCTAAGTATTTTATTCATTTTATTTTTGGTAGCTATTATAAATGAGATTGCCTTCTTGATTTATTTTAATCACGTTCTGATTTCAATTTCCCACTGGCATTCTTTAGGTACAGTTGCTCTGCCAGTTAGGAATCTCTTTAACCATATTGTCATCTCTCCTGTATTTCTTCATCTCATCCACATCAATGGCATGAAAAGCATTGTCCCATGCCTCAGTTCCACATAGAGTATCCACCATTTCCCCTGCCCTACCAGTATGGTGACCCTACCCCAAAAAAGAAATGAGGTCAGTCAGGAATTACTTGTTCCTGAGGGCTCCTGGTGATCACTAATTCTCTAACTGCCATAAGCCTTACATTTAAATACGCTAGAACACTATGCTACTAGTGCTGTCAGTGTCACCAGACTACAGTTCCCACAGTCTTCCCTCTTTATTTGAAAATTGAGATTGTGATTGCCCTTTTCCAACCTTCAAACATTTTAACTTTATGCCAAGATTCCCCTGGGTCAGAAAATTTGAACATATTTACAATAGCTGGGGCATCTCCTACTATCTGAGCATTTATCCTGAGCTTTTATTTTCCTTTACCATTCTTGTTCTACACATTGCAGTCTGATAAGTGTTTTCCTTGAAAGATTGTGGGAAAGAAATAGAACAGAAGTGATTGCTGAGGTCCCAGCCTTTCAAGTAATGTCTTTGTGATATGTGTCATGCCCTTATAATCAACAGCTCTGCAATTATAGTTCTCAAGAGACTTTCTGTAATATGGAGATGGTGTCTCCAGATGGCAGCTGTGTGTCATTTTGCCCCAGGCTGGAAACTAATGCTGAAAACCCCAAGCAAGGTGTTGGTTGAAGAATAGTTTTCTCACTGTCATCTGTATTCGTTCTCCAGTTGCACTCGGGCAGAGAGGCTCAAGTCTTTCTTTGTTCCTTTGGCTCCTCATCTGCTTTATTAATTTCAAAGCACCCTTTTTTGTCCCTTAGGATTTGGGAACCGAATCAGCTCATATGGGGCTTTAGCCTTCCCAACCCTAGGCTAACAGATCTGTGCCATTCCATGTACACATCCTTGAGCAGGTGGCTTTCCATTTGTTTATACGTGTCCCTTTAAACTCTGAACCCACTAAAGAGTCATTTATTTTGTGTAAATAATGAGGTATCTTTATGATGCCTTTATGACTTAATGGCCCTATAACCCTTTGTGCTCAGTACTGAACTGGGATCAGACTTTCCATTCCTAAGCAGCTTTCTTTGATTTCACATTTCCCTCCTCTCCCTAGTTTACAGTTTTGTGTTATTTTAAAAAATATTTTAAACTTACATACAGTAAAATTCACTCTTTTTGGTATACAAGTCTGTGAATTTTGACAAATACATAGGTAACCACCACCACCATGAGAAATAATTCCATCACCTCAGAAACTTGCCCAGTGCTGACCCTTTGAGGTTATATTCTACCTCCACCCCTAATCTCTGGCAACCACTGATCTGTACTCTGTTCCTATGTTTTTGCCGATATGTCCTTATATTTTTGTCATATAAATGGAAGTCTACGGTGTGTAGCATTTTTGAGTCTGGTTTCTTTCACATCACAAAATACATTTGAGATTCATCCATGTTGTTGCATGTTATCAGCACTTCATTCATGTGTATGAATAAATCACAGTTAATCATTCACCCATAGAAAGACACTTGATTTGTTTCCAGTTTTTGGCAATTATGAATAGAGTTACTTTAAATATTTGTGTACAGGATTTTGTATGGACACAGGTTTTCATTTCACTTGGGAAAATACCTTAAAGTGGAATTTCAGAGTTATATTGTAAGTGTACCTTTTTATATGAAGGTATGATGTTACCTTTATAAGAAACAGCCAAAATATTTTCCAAAGTGGCTGTACTTCTGAATTTCTGGCAGCAATGTATGAGAGTTCCAGTTTTCATCTTCACAAGCACTTGGTATTGCCAGTTTTTTGGTTTTTTTTTTAGAGTCTAGATATTCTGATGGGCATATAAATGGTATCTCATTGTGGTTTTAATTTTTATTTCTCGCCGGGCTCGGTGGCTCAGCCTGTAATCCCGCGCCTTTGGGAGGCTGAGGTGAGTGGATTGCCTGAGCCCGCGGGTTCAATACCCGCCTGGGCAGCGAGACCTCATCTCTACAATAAATCAAAAAATCAGCTGGGCGTGGTAGCGCATACCTGTAATTCCAGCTACTCGGAAGGCTGAGGCGGAAGGATCGCCGGAGCCCAGCAGGTCCAGGCTGCGGTGGCCGGGAGCGGCCACTGCACTCCAGTCTGGGCGACAGAGTGAGACTCCAACTCAAAAAAAAAAAAAAAAATTTTATTTCTCAAACAACTAATGATGTTGAACATCTTTTCATGTGCTTATTTGCCATCAGTATATCCTCTTTGGTGACATGTCTGCTTATATCTTTGCCCATGTTCTATCTGGATTGTTTGCTTTTTCACTGTTGAGTTTTGAGAGTTATTTCTATATTCTAGATACTAGTCTTTTGTCAGATATATGGTTTGCAAAACATTTTCTCCCAGTTTGTAGCTTGTCTTTGATTTCTTAATAGTGACTTTCACAGAGCAAAATTTTTAACTCTAAAAAAGTCCAATCTGTTGGTTTTTCTTTTATAAATTGTACTTTTGGTGTCATGTCTAAGACTTTACTTCTTTACTTAGATCCCAGAGATTCTCTTCCATTTTTTTTAAGTCTATGATCCATTGTGAGTAAATTTTGTAAAAGGTATTAGACTTAGGTCAAGGTTTTGTTTTTGTTTTTTGTTTTTGTTTTTGTTTTTGTTTTGTTTTGTTTTGTTTTGCATATGGAAGGACAACTGCTCCAGCACTATTTGTTTGAAGGTTATCTTTCTTCCACTGAATTGTTCTTGCACCTTTGTCAAAAATCATTTCAACATACTAATGTGGGTCTATTTCTGGGCTCTCTAATCTGTTCCATTGATCTACGTATTTGTCCTTTTTGCCAACACTACAAAGTCTTGATTACTGTATTTCTAGCTTACTTTTTCTATTACTACAGTCCCCCGGTGGTGTTATACATTAAATATCCAGGATGGAGAAGCCACATGCTACTCACCAAGGGGAGGAAATTATCACAGTAGCCTGGGCACACGTTGTGAGCTCTCCTGTGACCAGGGCTTTCGACTGATTGGACGGAAGTCTGTGCAATGCTTGCCAAGCCGCCGTTGGTCAGGAACTGCCTACTGCAGGCGTAAGTTATGTGTGTGTGCACGTGCTGATATGTGTATGTGAGAGAAGCCAGTCAGCTGGCCAGCCAGCCACTAAGGGTATATGCCCTTTTATCAAGTGCAACAAGCCCCCAACAAGGCCTTTCCCCATCTTAACATTCTAATTCATTTTCTCTACCTATAGTTACTGTCCAAGCAATATGGGCATTTAAGTAGCAACCAGCTCTTCTGACTCAGAGTCCAGGAGTGCAGGTAAGGAAATAAGGCTTGGGCCTGAGACTTGACGTGGACCTGGGCCTTCTTCTAGAGCTCCTGAAGATGTAAGGCCTCAGACTTTTTCCTACTTGTGATCAACTGCTGTACTTCCTGGCCTATAGCTTTAGAAGTCATTGGCAGTGAAGTTATGAGTTATTTTTAATTTTCTTCTGAAGGTCAGAAGGAGAACCCCTAAGGCGAGAAGGAGGATGCTAATACGCATACATTCCAAATCATGTCCCCCTTCAGCTTCCAAATCACTACCTCTTATTCAAGTTCCACAGTCATTTAGCAGCTGAGCTTTGTCTTTCTATATGTCCATGGCCCAATACCATTTCTAAGACACTCATGTGTGCAAGACCCTGTATTGGTCATTTTGTAAGCTTACTCAATTCCTCAAGTACTCCCAGACTGCTTATAGACAAATGGAATAGAAACACAGATGTGTGCACATGACACAGATGTGTGCACATGACTGCTGTGTAACTGCATGCAGAAGTATTGAGAATTCAGAGATAAATGGGGCTGGTCAGAGAAGATGCTGTAAAAGAGAGGAGAAGCTTGATAGCCAGAAAGAAGACAGTCACCACACCCCTCTAGGTGATTGGAATTAAGTTGTTTCAGGACTTAGGCCCAATTATTTCCCAAATGAATTAGAATTGGCCTGACAAATTGAAAAATATAAGGCTAGAAATTATAGGTAAACATAAAACCAAAGAAAAGAATGGAGACATACATATTTCCAGGTACCTAGAATGAGTTGAGTGCTACATTTGAGCACTGAATCTAGCTTTGGCCTTCCTCATAAGAGATAAAAGGGCAAACGCTTTGGAACTCTCATTTTTCCTGTTATATAATACTAAGTAAACAATTTCATCTGAAGAGACAAATCTTTTCAATTAATCCTGATTTCAAGAAGGTTATTTTTGCATAGGTCTCTACATAAAGAATACTGGGAAACAGAAAAGGCAGTAATCTTCAAATCTGGTTTAGCCAAGAAGCAAAATGAACCTAACATATAAATCTTTATTCAAAGCTTAACAATTGAAATTATGCAGGATTAGAACTTAGACAACCTAAAGGAATGTATGGCCTACTTCTCTCAAATATCAGCTAACTCAAACAAGACTGGTAAGCACATGTTCACAATTAATTCATGGTGGCAATTTCCACTTTTTGGCATGTGTGGCATGTTTACTCATGCATTCCTCTTTGATCAAATACCACCACACCTGGCCCTCCAGGCACTGGTCTGACTTGTATTCCTACCCGGACAGAGAGCATACCACTTTGGCATGTAAGTGAACCTCAGCTGAACAGTGCCTGTGGGCACACCAAAATTATACTCAAAAAGGAACTTTGAACGTGCTTAAGGGTATCTAGCATTTGAGGAAGAGAGGAAAACTAACAGTTGCTGAGGCCTTAAATGGGCCCACAGGTTTATATACATTGTCTCTTTTAATCTGCACAACAGTTCTATGAGGTGTCCACATTTTAATGATGAAAACACTGAGACTCAAGAGAGATGAGACAACTTCTTCAAGTTACAGAGCTAGTAAGGGGTGCAGTCGGGATGCAATCTCAGGTCTGATTTTTAAGTTCACATGCTTGAACAAGCAATCTACTTCTTGGAGACCCCCCAAGAGTGCTACTGTGCTTTATAACATAAAAATACAAAGATAATTAGGGGAAAATGCAGTTAGATACAAAAATGTAAGGGCAGTTTGGGTAGGCTTTCTGCATTTCAGGCTGTCTCTGATATGCGTCTCCCTGTGCTAGATGCCCAGGTATCACCTCCAGATAGTCCTCCAGGCCACTGAACTTTCCACTTGGTTTTCTCTTAGAGATGAGATGCCATGCACTGCCATTCATCACTAGTGGCACTTACACCTGCACAAATGGGGTTCTTCTTGACTCCCGCTGTGACTATAGCTGTTCCAGTGGCTATCACCTGGAAGGTGATCGCAGCCGAATCTGCCTGGAAGATGGGCGATGGAGTGGAGGCGAGCCTGTATGTGTAGGTAAATGCCAGTTGCTCCCAGTTGTCCTGCTGCAAAGAGCCACCCTAGCATTATAGCCACAAAAGGCATGGAATTCTTCCCATAGAAGGCACTCCTGTACTCTGTGAGGGTGACACCTGGGCATATGCCTAACAAAATGATTGTTTCCCCTGGAACTGAGCTTTTTTCCCCCATTTCCTTGAGCACCTTAAACTTCTTACCTACCCAATGTTGTATAGTATTGCTTTGATGGGTTCCCTCCAGGGAAGTCAGGGGGCCCATGAGTCGGCACTTGATTTTCAACCTTGGCAGACATAGATCCCCCCAAGATCCGTTGTCCTCACTCACGTGAGAAGATGGCAGAGCCGGAGAAACTGACTGCTAGAGTATACTGGGATCCACCCTTGGTGAAAGATTCTGCTGATGGTACCATCACCAGGTGAGCCTGATAATGGGTGCTCCTTCTGCCTCCTAACAGCTTCTCCCAGTCCCTCAGGCTGCTCACACTGAAACTGTACAGGCTGAGGCTACGGTGAGGATGTGCTTCAGACCTCAATTCTGAGTCTCTTTCCTCATGTCTCTTTCACCCTGTTCCATGCAGAGTGATACTTCGGGGCCCTGAGCCTGGCTCTCACTTTCCTGAAGGAGAGCATGTGATTCGTTACACTGCCTATGACCGAGCCTACAACCGGGCCAGCTGCAAATTCATTGTGAAAGTACAAGGTCAGAAATAATTTGTTCATTTTCACATTGTTCATTATTCTTGCTCTATCTTGGCCTTCTAGAAACCCACCACAACCCTCTTCTCTCTAATGCCTGAAACAGACACATCTCATTTATACCAGGAAAGGGGAGAAAAAAACAAGTTCACCAAACAGACTCATTCAGGAAGCCTATATTACATGTGCATACGCATGTTTCTGAAATCTTGACTCCTCAACAAAACTTTCTAGAGAAATTCAGAAATCTAGAGAAAATTCACAAAGATATTTTCTCTGTTTCTTTTTTTAGACTTCAAATTTATCAAATCTAATCAGCCTTCATTCTCAGTCATTCACCTCTGCTGAAATTGGTGGTGTTGGCTGCCTGATTCTTCCTCTTTGCTCTGTGCCGTATTGTTTTGTTTTGCTTTTCTCATTATAAAAATAATTCATGGGCCAGGCGTGGTATCTCATGCATGTAATCCCAGAATTTTTGGAGGCAAATGCAGGCAGATTGCTTGAGCCTAGAAGTTCAAGACCAGCCTGGGCAACACAGCGAGACCTAGTATCCACAAAAATTAAAAATAAATTAAAATAAATTAAAAATTAGCCAGGCATCGTGGCACACGCCTGTAGTCCCAGCTACTTGGGATGCTGAAGTGGAAGAACCACCTAAGCCCAGGAAGTTGAGGCTGCCATGAGTTGTGATCATACCACTGCACTCCAGCCTGAGTAACAGAGAATCTGACTCAAAAAACAAAACAAAACAAAAAAAATCCATACTGTTGTTCAATATTTAATAAATAAATATACAAAGGGAAAAAACTATCACCCCATCATCCAGAAGCAATTGCTAATAACTTTTTAATGTTTTCCTTCCAGTCTTTTTTCTATACATACTTTAAAAAATAGTTATGATTCACAATAATATATTTTTGGAAACAATCAAATGACTAATAATAAGGATATAGTTAAATACCATGTAGCATGAAAAATAATGATTTGGAAGAATAATGGCACAGAAAATGATGTCATCAAGATGGCAGAATAGAAAGTCACAGCCCTCATTCCTCCACAGAAACACAGATTTAACAATGATATAAGTAACAAAATACTTTTATGAAAAGTCTGCATTTCAATTAAGAAGTTGTAGTACCCCCAGATAAGCACCAAAAAATAAAATAAAAGTAGTTATAGGATTATAGTTTATATCCAATCATGGATCATCCTTCTTCACTTTTTATTAAAACAAAGTAATTTTCCCATGTATTTAAAGAGTCTTCAGAAATATTTTAATGACAGCATAAAATTGTACCCTAAGAATATATCATAATTTGCTTGAGCCTTCCCCCACTGATGGGAGACTTATTTCTGCCATTAAAAGTAATTCTGCAAGGTCATCTTTACACAGGGTTTCCATAAAGTTTGGAGACATAGATGACAATGTTTTCATTTACGGACTGATAGTCTTTTGATAACAATATGATATTCACCTGTGTTTCCAAACTTTATGAATCTTTGTGTCCATTTCAGATTTAATTCCTTTTTTTTTGTGGTGGGGTCTCAGCTCTGTCACCCAGGCTATAGTGCAGTAGCACAATCATGGCTTACCACAGCCTGGATTCAAGTGATCCTCCTGCTTGTCTTCCGAGTAGCTGGGACTACAGGTGTGTGCCACCATGCCCAGCTAATTTTTTAATTTTTTGTAGACATGAAGTCTTGCTATGTTACTCAGGCTGGTCTTGAACTCCTGGGGTCAAGCCATTCTCTAACCTTGGCCTCCCAAAGTGGTAGGATTACAGGTGTGAGCCACCACACCTGGCCTAGTCTTAATTCCTTAAGGAAAGAAAATTCCAGCTCCAGCCCAGGTATTAGAAACATAGAAAAGTCATTTGTTCTGATCATCTGAACAGTCTCCTGGCCTAGAATAGGAATTCTCTTCACCTTTCCTTCCTATGAGAGACACTATGATCCCTAATTTGAGCTCTTCCCTGACAGTGAGACGCTGCCCAACTCTGAAACCACCACAGCATGGCTACCTCACCTGCACCTCAATGGGGGACAACTATGGTGCCACCTGTGAATACCACTGTGATGGTGGTTATGAGCGCCAGGGGACCCCATCCCGAGTCTGCCAGTCCAGTCGTCAGTGGTCAGGATCACCACCTGTCTGTACTCGTGAGTGAAACCAGAGAGTGGGGAGAATGCAAATGTTGATCCTCCTTTGCAGGATTCCCCTCATGGCACAGGGCCCAATAGCAATGTATATTATGTCAGAATGGGGAGTTCTGAGATGTGTCTATTTTAAGGGTCAACATTCACCCATAGAATACTCCTAGAAACAAAGAACCGAATACCACATGTTCTCACTCATAAGTAGACCTTGAACGGTTATCATAATACTATAAGAAAGGGATTGGCAGTAGTGGGAATCTGCCTGGGAAAGGGGGAGCACACCTCAACAACAAGGGTGCCTGCATAATGACCAATTGTATACCTAACCCTGAATTGTACCCTACATCTTTAAAATAAAAAAATTGAATGTGAATAAAAGCAAATAAATGGTTCCAGTAAAAACAAACAAAAAAAATACTCCTACCCCAAGAAGAGGAGTTTAAATTTTCCAAGCATTCTTTCAGGATTTCCCCTAAGGGAAGGGAGAATAACCAGAAAGGGTTAACTTCAAGGACTGGAACGCCTTAAGATGTTAAGTTACCCAAGCTGGGATGAAGGAGAAGGCCATACCCTGACTGGGCATCTGCTTCTGCCCTAGCTATGAAGATTAATGTCAATGTCAATTCAGCTGCTGGCCTTCTGGATCAGTTCTATGAGAAACAGCGACTCCTCATCATTTCAGCTCCTGATCCCTCCAACCGATATTATAAAATGCAGAGCTCGATGCTACAGGTGAGACCCATTCCCTTAATGAAGGCTTAGCTCCTTTACATGCCCCTCTTACTTTTTCCAAATCAGAGTTGCTCTCTGCAGCACAAACCCTACCTCCTCAAACTTTTTGTGATTAGCATTTGATCAGTTTTACCATAGACATATTTAGCATATTTTAAAAACTGCTTTGTTTTTACTGAAAAGGCAATAAGGCCAATGGAATGGTGGATGTGATTTGCAGGGGGCTGGGTGAAGGTTGGGAAGGGAGTGTGGCAAAGCACTCTGAAGAGATTTGCAAGGCAGTGATGATCAAATGTAATTGTTGACAATTACCCACATTTGTCTTAAAGAAATAATAGCTATAATGCTATAATAATGTTATGTAGGCACCAAGTACTGACCCATGGACTTTACATATACTCATTCAATTCTTACAACAACCCTTATGAAGTAGGCACTACCATTATCCCGATGATGAATAGGTGAGGAAACTGAGGCATACAGAGGTTAAGTGATTTGCCCAAGGTCACTGGGTAGTAAGTGGTAGAGCTCAGATTGAATCCAGGCAGTCTGGCTCCTGGATCTGTATTCTTTAACCACTACCAGTAGCAGAAGAGAGGGAAAAGTGTCGTGATATCTCAAAATAAAATAAGAGAGTTGCATGATGATTTTTAACATAAGAAGAGATACCTAGCCAAAGCCACTGGTAGGGGAGAAAGAGGTAGATAGAACAAAATAGATATGACCATGAGGACTTGAAAAAATAACAGGCTAGGATGCTGAAGAGAATTCATTGTGTGCTGACAAGACTAAGAGAAGCAGCTCTAGGGAGCTGCAAGGGGCTGGATACTCACATAAGAGGAAAAGCTACCCAAGTCAGTATTCAGAGGTCCATGATGAAAGTAGTTTTATCAAAAAAATTAACCCTGGGGGGTCCAGACCAAAAAGCACCTCATCCCTCCAGAGATCTAAAAAAGGCAGACAAAGGCAACAGCTCAGTTAAAAGCAAGGAAGCAAGAACAAGAACAGAAACCAGTGAGGGTTAGTAGAGGAGGAGCTCAAAGATGAAACAGGGATGGGGCACTGGGGAGGATTCAATGCCTCTTTAAGTCTTGCCCTGGTAACTGGCTAACAGGTGATACTGCAAGATAAGGAAGGACAGAGAGCCAGGATAGAGTTGCAGGGTGTGCTGCCCTGTGCAAGGAAGGCAACAAAGGACAATGAAAAGAGCACTGGGCACTATTTTGGGGAAATCCTGGAGACCAAGGGAAGGCTCTGGCCATGTAGCCTAGTGGTAAAGACATCAACCCTCAGTTTGAATCTTGGCTGGGCATCTTATTGTCATGTGAATTAGGGCAAATTACTTTCTCCTCTACAGAAGAATGACACTACCTAGATTGTTAGGGACGTTGTGAGGATTAAGTTTGATTATTTGTACAAACAAGTAGGTGTGTGTATTTAATGAACAATAGCCATTATTATATCACATTCCCCATCCATTATGCACTTATGTAGCTTAAAATCTATGCAAAGCTAAGCAATGATTATATTCCTGCAATTTAGTCAATGCATTTCTCTTGTCTACCCCACATTGTTGGTTTCATACACTTCAGTACTATGAAGGAAACACTGTTGGGGCAAGAACTTCAGGAATGACAGAGGGAAAGTGTTGATATAGACCCCACAGTGTGACCGTGTGATCATTGCAGGAGAAGCCGCTCCTTTTCAGCCTCATGTGGTCCCAGGAGAAATCATCCAGGTAGCCTTAGGTTAGAGTGCAGTGGCCCATTCCATGAAATGTTCTTTCCTCCTCCCAGCAATCCATCTGTGGACTGGATCTGCGGCACGTGACCATCATCGAGCTGGTAGGGCAGCCACCTCAGGAGGTGGGGCGCATCCGGGAGCAACAGCTGTCAGCCAACATCATCGAGGAGCTCAGGTCAAGGCTGGGAAGCTGCAGGGCAGGGTTGGGCAGAAATTCTAGGCAGATCACTGGCCACAGCGAGAGTGTGGGAGAACCAGCAGATACTACTCTTTTGGGGGCACCCTGCATTTGAACTCTTGTGAATGTATTAGGTAAGACCAGAGAAAAGTTCTTAACTCTGGCAGGACATCAGAATCAAATGGGGGCTTAAAATACAGATTATCAAGCTCCACCCTAAACCACCCCAGGAACCTGCTTTTACAAAGGCACCTTGGGTGACTCTGAAGCACAGCCAGGGCTGAGACAGTTCAACCCAAACTTGACTCAGACAAACCTCCGATCCTATTGCCTTCTGGCCTCATCTATCTGCCTTCATTCTCCAGAGTGAAAGGCATCTTTAGGCACTGAAATGTGAATCATATCCACCAGCTCCTGGGGGGAAAAAAGGCTATAGGTGACAGGTGGTAAAAGTTGACTTTTCTCATTAACCTTCTAATGCCATCTCACATACTCAAGGCCAATAAAGCCATCACTGTTCTCTTTTCTAGAAACTATATCTGCCTCTAGGGCTCAGTGTCAGTGGGGACAGAAAGATTTAGTCCCAGTTAGAGGCTAGAAAGCACCCAGTGGAAGAAGACTGCAGACTTGCAGCCACAGATTAGAAGAATTAACTATGTGGTATTTATCAACCTCAGGGCCACCATGTATAATGTGCATACACACCATGGTGTCTGTGACGGGTGCCCCCTGGAGTTATTCTGTGCAGCCTGCATAGCCACATGTGATAATAGTCCTGCTTAAAGGGGCTTACAACTTTAACACAAAGTAATAACAAAGCTGCCCCAACTAGGGTGAGAAAGGGATAGCTTAGCAGAGCTAGACATGTAGGGGTAGTAAGACAAAGGTCCGAGCACAGAAAAGCAAAGAGACTTGAGATGGGGAGTGGAGGAGATAGGGACCAGAGGTGGGGTAGGAAAGGAATTAGTCCATCAGTGGAGCTGGGGAAGGTCAGCAGGTAGCAGAGCCCAGTAGGATGGATGCCCAGATAAGGCCTCACACCTCCCTGGGCTACTCTACTCTCTCCAGGCAATTTCAGCGCCTCACTCGCTCCTACTTCAACATGGTGTTGATTGACAAGCAGGGCATTGACCGGGAACGCTACATGGAACCTGTCACCCCTGAGGAAATCTTCACATTCATTGATGACTACCTACTGAGCAACCAGGAATTGATCCAGCGCCAGGAACAAAGGGACATATGCGAGTGAACTTGTACCAGGGCATGATTGAGGTCAAGAGAAAAAGCTCCCCTAGTTAGCTGAAACTAGAACCTAATTAAAGGAGAAAATGGTTTCCTACAGTTCTAGGGATAGGACTCTGGTGTGGGTGAGGTGCGCCAAATGCTTCGATGTTTCCAGGCACCTTTTTAGGGCTGTGTAATCATTTCCCTAGAAGTTAGGTAGAGACTGAGGACAGGCACTGGGCAGTGGGTTTGGGGTAAAAGGCCTTCCTTTCCTAAACTGGTCTTTTGCTCAGCTCTCCAATGTCTTTCAGATAAGTAAATCCTAAATTTTTCGCTAACTGGTTGTTTCAAATGGTTCCTCTACCCTGAGGTGGCAGCAGAGGGCAGCACCATTACAACAGACAACCAGGACACTTGAAGCAAGTATAGCTGGATTTTACTTGTAAGTTAACAATATCATTGGTTTGCAGGGAAGGGGAGTAGCTACAAAGCCTTCTTGAAGCTGCTTGTCATTTCATCTTCTAGGGCATTGGACTGCTAGTGTTAACTGAACCACTGCTTTCCCCGAAGAGTTAAGAAAACTCTGCAATGGGCAGGAACTTGGGAAGACATGTCCAGTCAGAACAGAATGCTCTCTCTTGGCCCCTGGCTCATAGGCAAGAACCCCTTCTTCCTGAGCCCTCCAGTTCCCACAGCAAAAGACAGATAATGCTCTCCCTTCCTTAGGGAAGTACCCCAGCCTGTTATCTAGGAAACCTCAAAACCACCACTGCAGGTCGTGGGAAAAGAAAAAGAAAAACAGTCTCAGCCTCATGTATTAGCTTCTTCAGACATCCCTTTTAAGAGATGAGCATAGGGCAGGTAGGAGCTACAGCAGCACAAAGTCAGGCCTTAAGAACCAGGCCTCAAATAAATTTAAGGAATCACACACAAATCCCTGTTCTGAGTTTAGTCCCACTCGGTGGTATGCCAGTGTTTGAAAGAAAAGTGTTCTCCTCCCTTGCTGCTGAGGGTTTTCCATGGTACATTCATGGAACCCAGAGCTGTAGTTAAGACTCAGAAGCCTTTCCTCTTCAGTTTTGCCCGGAGGGTCATTAGTGGAAAACTAGATGGAAGAAGGAAGCAGGCTGGGTGGGGAGGCAGAGCGCAGAATGCTCGAGCCTCACTATGTGCCAGGTGCTGTTCTAAACACTCTATTGATTGACTCGGAAGTCTTCACAAGGACCCTTTATAAGGTAGGTACTCTTATTAACCCCATTTTACAGATGAGGGAATTGAAGTTCCACAAGGTTAGACAATTTGCCTAAGATCAGCCAGCAAGGAAGTGGCAGAGTCAGGATTCCAACACCAGCGGCCTGGCCCCAGCCAATGTTCTTAGACATTATGCCATATTGCCTCTCTTCTTTTTCCATTTAAAGACAGCTGAAAGCCCCAAGCAAAGAGGACAATTCCTTCTTCTACAATTCCACTCAGACACAAGACTCAGAGTGGGCCCAGGAGGAAAGAAGGAGATAAAAGGCTCTCAACCCAAGAAAATTCACACTTTAAAGTAGAGTGATGGGACATAAATCATGAGCCCAGAACATATGGAGGTAGCAGTGAGTTGGAGAGAAACTGTTTCCACTGGGTTTTTAGTGAAAATCTCATCTTTAAAATGCAAAATAAAAAGTCAGAGAGTTGCTGAGTAGAATGGGACATGGAAGAAATGACCAAACTTGGAGCTAAAAGTTCCCTTCTCCCACTGCCCTCCAGGGAAATAGAAGAGTTATGAAAGGCAGGAGGCAAGTTTTAGGCAGAAGGCAAAACACAATGAGTTCATATGGGAAAGTCTCTGGTCAGAGCAAGTTTTTGGTTCCAAAGGCAAAGACTACATACCGCACATGATGAGTACCCTTCCTTGTCTTTATCACAACACTTCCAGAATAAGCCAAGACATACTATCAGGTCAGAGACCTGAACGTAGAAGGTACACTACCTCCAGAACAGAGTTTTCACCGGTCATGACTCTTGCATATAAATACTCCTCGAGTTTAAAACAACCGAGGAGCTTTCGTTCTGTTTCACTTTGAATAGTCAAGGCAGGTCAATCTTGCTTCTTTAGGTAAAGTTTTACTGTAATCTCCTTTGTAGTCCTTTGTAGATGATGACCGGAGAAATCTCAACTCCTAAAGTAGCAGAAGAATCAGGTCCATAGCCAGACCCAAAAGGGCTAGCCCAACCCTAACCCTGTACATATTTTCTCTCACTCACTCTTCTTATTTCTGCCCCCACTTCTCTCTTATGCCTAGCATGTTCTCTCTCTCTCTCTCTCTCTCTCTCTCTCTCTCTCTGTCACACACACACACAATGTGGTCACTAAGCTGGCTAGTTAATATCCAAAGCATTCTGATTGTCCTACTTTGTAAATTAAACTTATTTGTTTAAGATTGTTCAGAAAAGATGAGTCATTTCTTTGACTCTTCACCCATAACACACATATTCTCACAGGAGGCAGCAGAGTCAGACATTGATTAAAATCTCAACTCTGTCATGTAAAAGTGGGCTTGAGTTTCTTCATCTGTAAAAAGGGAAGATTGCCTACTTTATAAGATTGTTGGAGAAATTAAATAAATTATATATGAAGTCTTATACAAAAAAAGGCATTTGATATATATTAACACCTGTTTGCACAAGAGATCAAGAATCACTTGGGCTCTATCTAGAAACCCAGAACCTTATTTCTGAGAAGGGTTACACTTGGCATCTGTGTTATTTCCCTCTCAAAACTAAATAAACAGTAGTAGGAGTGAAGGAAAAAGTTCCCACCTCCCAGAGAAATGGAAGGATCCTAATAGAAGTGCTTATCACATGGAATGTTTGCCCTCACCTCCTGTATGAACACTTTTCTCCTTCCTCCAATGCAGGAGGGTCTACAAAACTAAAGAAGGAGTTCTCTTGGTACATGAGAGAGAGAAAAGCAATGCCTCTTTTAAGATGGGTTCTTAGTTCTCTTCTTAGATACCAAACACAGAGGTTAAGCAATTAGAGCTCAGTGAAGGTATCAGGCAGCAACGTGGGGAAAGGCAAATTTTCTTCAAGTCAACACACGATAGCTATGGAAGAGCATTTATCACTTTGGTTCTTACCCTTCAAGCCACAGGAAAAGCAACAGTAAGTCAGGACATCAGAGACAGAAGCATCTACAGAACTAACAAATGCAAACATTTGACAAGTGAGAAAGCTTTATTGAAGCACACATACATGTCAAGGGGTGGGAAACAAAAGAGCAAGTTACAGCCCAGGATCCCAAGTTACACCTTCCATTACAATATCAATTCATACCAGATACATCTTTTTAAAAACGTTCCTCCATTAAATTCACACACAATAGAAACCACTGTATCTGCCCTCAATCCAGTGGCCTTACAGGAAATCAGCTAGAAGCTGACTCTACTGAAAGAGAGTTCTTCTCTTGATAAAGACTCCTTCCACATACAACTTTGTGTCAATAAACTTGTGAGAATAAAAAGGTCTATTTGGATCAGTGAGTACCAGAAAATGAAACTTAGCTCACCAGAGCCTCAACACACCACACCCATGTTATATATAGGTCAAATTTAGGAAACAATAGCAAAAATAGGAACTGAAACCTCACCAGGCAGGAAGTCAGAGATTCTGGAAAATTCTCCATCTACATTTTCATGGAACCCTAGCAGTCCTCAGCCTGGAGAAACAGTGGGCCAGTTTAGACAATACTTGTTTCTTCCGGCTGACACAGTGGCATGTAGACCACATTCTGTGTAGCAACACAGCCCAGACACAAAAACTGAGACAGATGTGGTACATGAGAGTGAAAATGTCTTTTCATTCATTAGAGAAATGAGGCACTCTCTCTTCAACAACTGTTGTTACCAGTTTAAAATGCAGAGAATTCAGCTAGGCTGTGAGACATTTTACCCTCAATTACTCATATCCTCTGGGATCAGCTAGAAGTTCTCACTGAGCATGTTCATGACCTAGTCAAAAGGCCATTATCTAATTAAAGTGCTTTTCTAAAGTGACTCTATTATAAGGGTCCTCCAAAGGTCTAGTAAAGGTGTCAAGAACTGGAAAAAGCTGGAGAATTTTCTTAGCATTTCAAAGAAAAGGATTAGACCCATGCAAAATGGAAATTGATTAAAAACAAGCATAGTTAAAAGCCAAGTTCCAGAAATTTATCAGGGTAGAAAATAAGTTAAAAGCATAATTTGGGAGGAAAGAGAGAAACCATTCACCTGTCTCCTATATTCCTCTGTCTCTAGAAACCCAACCTCGCTTCCCAGAGCCTTGGCCTCACATCAGGCACATCTTGAAACACAGACTGTTACTAATGCCAAAGGTAGCCAGGGCTTCCTGGGGAAGTAGGAACAAGGACAGCAAGACAGAAGATAAAGAGTTGTTTTAAAAGGTTCTTTTAAGTTAATCAGACCTCATAAAGATATAAGAATGAACTCTAAAAATAGATTATGCATAAATTTTCAAAAAAACATTTTGAAGAGACTGTTATTCTTGAGTCTGCTTTAAAAGGGGGAATAAGTCTGTATCACTCTAGCTAGCATAATAAGATTTGCAGAAATACATGTTTGTACACACATACACAACACATACACATTAAATTATATATCTTTGCTCTTGGTTTCTTCGCTTCCTCTGACTTGCCCTGGCCAAGGCCGGACCTTCAGAGGAGGACAGGGACTCATAAACCCAACTTCTGCTTGGCCATCGAGGAACGGAGTTGCAGAGTCCCTTCTGCCCAAGACCCTGGGTACTGTCGCATCTTCTGCCACAGGTTCACTTCTTCCCCAGTCGAGTCCATCCAATCCACCACTTCCCCATTACTGATCCCTGAGGAGAAACACCAGAGGAGGCTGAACAGGAGCCCTGGTCCTCAGCTCATCAGGGAAGATGTGTTGTACAGATGGGTTTTATGGGGTAGCTGCCCCATAAAAGACAGTGTGCTACGAAGATGGACTGGTGGGGACAGCAGTCTAGGAAATGCTCCCTGTTGATCCTTGCACAGATATTTCTGCGCTCCCGAGAGTCTATCAAGATACTTCAGGTTGATAAAATCGGGCTCCAAATGGCACACAGTCTGCTAGAAACTTCTTATTCTGAGGCTGTTACAGAGCTCTAGTGTCTCACACCTCATGTCAGAGCTACTGCCCTTCAGTTATTGCCAACTGAATTTTTTTTAAGCCGAACACCTTTTTCTCTAGATGCAGACTCCAAGCCCAAAGTCAGGATTGTATGTGACCTTATTTTTATTTTCCTGTACAGTCACTCATTCATTCAAGCAACATTTATTGAGGGCCTAATGTGTGCCAAATACTCTCCTAGGCTCTGAAGATGGTAATGAACAAAACAGAAAAACCCCTGCCCTCAGGCAGCTTTTGTTTGAAGACAGAAGACAGAAAATATATAAGCAAACCAACAGAAGTATTTCAGATCATGAGATCAACATTATGAAGTAAATAAACAGGGTGATTTGTAGTGCCTGGACCAGGACCTACTATGCAGATGCAGTGTCTGAGGGACTCTTACCTCTTCTGTAAGAAGGAGACTTTTGAGTCAAGACCTTTCCAGACAGAGAGAACAATAATTACAAAGGTTCTGACGTGGGAATGGGCTTGGTAAATCAGAAGAGCAGAAAGTCATCATGGTAGGAGTACAGTGCCAAACAGGAGAGTGATATGAGATAGATCATAAAGGAACAGTAAACCCAGTTATAGAGGCCTGTAGGTATGGTAAGAACTTTGGATTCTTTTCTAAGTACAATAGGAAGCTACTGAGGGGTTTTAACAGGGAACTGACATGAAGTGTCATCACTCAAGATTCTTTGTGTTAAATGCTTTGTGTGGGTTATTAATATAAAAGCAGTATGTAAGGCCATGGGAATACAGAGACCATGGAGGGAGCAGAGAAGAGGATCCGAGACCAAGACCTAAGAAGCACCAACATCTGGAGTTTGGGTAGAGAATGAGGAGCCTACACAGAAAACTGAGAAGGGATGAGCAGTGAGTTAAAAGGGAACTAGAGTATAGTGTCAACAGAAGCTCAGCATTTCAAGAAAAGGAGAGTGGTCCACTATGTTAAATAGTACTGAAAATTCTAGTGAGATGAGAACACCATTTTGGCAAAAGCAATTGCTCAGCAGAGTGGTGGGAAAGAAACCAGGTCACAGTGGATTGAGGACTAAAGGAGAGGTGAGGAAAGGAAGACAATTACTTTTAAGAAATTAGAGGAGAGACATGCAGTCAAGGGAAGGTTTATTTGTGTTTATTAAGATTGGAAATACTAGAGCATATATGTATTCACCTCCAGTAGGTAGGAAGAATGAAACTGAGAGATGGAGATTACAGAAGTGAGGTGTTAGGAAGAGGAAGAGGTGATCCAGAACACTTGGAGACAGCTTGGCTTTTGCTAACCAAGACCCTTCTTTCATTATTAACAGAATGGAAGATGGAAAGTATAGGTACAGACATATAGGGAGCTTTGTAGATATTTTGCTGGGAAGATGATCAAGTTCCTGACAATCAAGGTCACTTTTATCAGCACATATAATAGTAAGACATGATATTTGCTCATATAACTACAATAGCTCGGCCTTCCTTTAGGCCTGGCACATAGTAGGCCCTCAATAAATATTTGTTGAATGTTAACTGAAAGGAAAGGTGACAATTCTCATAAAGGAGCTTTGGAGGGAGGGGGCTGGTATTGCAAGTGAAACAGACAAGAGGCCTTTCAGAAAATGAGGATGGGGAAGAGGCTCTCACCAGTGCCAACACCCAGCCTGATCCCTCCTAGGAAGTCATTGCTGGCCAGGGGCTCCCGGTCCCACACAGTCAGTTCCAGACACATGTGTTGTAGATCTTCCAGCCTTACACCATTGTAGACAAATGTATGGTTGTAGTGGGGATTCAGGGTCTTCTTCATCACAGGAGTTTTACGCTTACTGGCCTTGTTCCTCATGGGAAGGAGGTATCTGGTAGAGGATGGGGAGTAAACAACAGCCTACTCAAAGCTGAGGGCAATGTCTGTCTAAAACCCCTTTCCCCTACCACAGGCTTAGCCCAAGAAGGTAAGTCAACACCTAGATCCTAGTGCCCACATCCCCCCTTTGAATCTGCTGAAGCAGAATTCCTACTACCTCCACTAGATCATTCACCTGATTCAATTCCTTTAACCTGGAGAGAAAATGAATATAATTAGTGAGGCTGTTTTCTGTGCTTCACCAAAAATGGGTTTTAAATATTTGGTTTCATTTCCACTAAGCAAGGTTCTCTTTAAATAAAACCAATGGTACTCTGAATAAGCCTAGTCAAACGGGATTTGCTAGAGAACTTAAGTCACTGGGTGAGCCAGGCTTGGTGGCTCAGCCTGTAATCCCGCGCCTTTGGGAGGCTGAGGTGAGTGGATTGCCTGAGCCCGTGGGTTCGAGACTTGCCTGGGCAACTTGGCGAGCCCTCATCTCTATAATAAATCAAAATTAGCCAGGCGTGGTAGCGCGCGCCTGTAGTTCCAGCTACTTGGAAGGCTGAGGCGGAAGGATGGCCGGAGCCCAGCAGGTCGAGGCTGCGGTGGCTGGGAGTGGCCACTGCACTCCAGTCTGGGCGACAGAGTGAGATTCTAACTCAAAAAAAAAAAAAAGGTCAATGGGTGACCTACAATTTGGGGAAAGCTAGCATCACTTACTAATTATGGGGAACAAAGCCCTGAGTTCCCAAATCTAGACAGTAAGGGGATACAGATTTATACCCAGATTTGAGAGCATGAGTTAGAGAAAAGTCAGAACCTATCTATCTATCACCCTCCTCTTTGGATACAACACTACAGCCCAGTTCTAACTGAGCTTAGACTGGTCCAAAGGTGGTGGTGGAGGTTTTGCAGTTACCTAATTTCAAGAACAAAGTTGGCTGCTGGGGGTGACAGAACACAGAGGATAATACCCACAGAGAAAGGTTAAATTGAATTCCCGTCTTAGCTCTCTTGTCCTGAAACTGTCTAGTTTGGTGTTGGTCCAGGGACTCACCCCTTGACAAAGCTGTCTGAAGTCCCTCCTGCTTTCACAGCCATCAGGTTCTTCGCTTCTTTGATCCACACCTGGAGCTCTCCCCCTTTCCCACCTTTACCTGTAAGGGATGTCAGCCATAGCAAGTGAGCCCTACACCTCCACAGTGACTTTGAGCTTTATCTACATCTCACTTCCTTTTCCTGCTCCTGAAGGCAGCAAGCTCCACAACAACTGAACCACACCTGATTTGTGTCTTCAGTACCCAGCCCAGTACCCGACAGTAAGCAGTAGGCGCTCAATTCATATCAACCACAATAGCAAAAAATGCTTATTGAAACTGGCGATGTGCCAGATACTATGTTAAGCATTGGAGTCTCAAAATAACCCTACAAGACACACACTATTTTTGTGTGTATTATAGATGAGAAAATTGAGGCTTAGCGACATATAATTGCCAGATATTTGTTGAATAATTTTAAAAAGTAGAAACTCCTCTACTTGAGTTCTCGATTCCATCTTCACTTCATAGGACTCATCAGGCATCATCAATTTCAATCCCCACCTCCCATTTTTAATATTTCTCTCTCCACTAGTTCCTCAGTCTAAATATATGCTAATCTTACCTTTTTAAAAAAATCCTTTTAAAAGAAAACCTCCCTTCAACCTTATCTCTTCTTCAAGCTATTCTCCATGTCTCTCCTTTCTTTTTTTTTTTGAGTTGGAGTCTCACTCTGTCACCCAGACCGGAGTGCAGTGGCCGCTCCCGGCCACCTCAGCCTTGACCTGCTGGGCTCCGGCGATCCTTCCGCCTCAGCCTTCCAAGTAGCCGGAATTACAGGCGCATGCTACCACACCCGGATAATTTTTTGATTTATTGTAGAGATGAGGTCTTGCCTGCCCAGGTGGGTCTCGAACCCGCGGGCTCAGGCAATCCACTCACCTCAGCCTCCCAAAGGCACAGGATTACAGGCTGAGCCACTGAGCCCAGCTCATGTCTCTCCTTTCTTTCGTCATCAATTACCCTGAAAGAAAGTCCACATTCACTCCCTCTACTTCTTTGCCTCATTCACTCAGCCCAGTTTCTATTGAAATCTGGTTTCTGCTTCTTCTAATCCACTGAAAATGCAATACACTGCCAACTAGACATGTCTTCTCAGTCCCCATCCAGCCTGACCTCCTTGTGATATTTCAATGCTGTTAACAACCCTTGCCTCTTCTTCTTGAGGTGCTCTCCTGGCATTTCTTTCTGATAATCCTCTAATTCACACCCATGTCTTTCTCTCTTCATTCTTTAAAATGTTGCTGCTCCCTGATCCCTATGGTTCTATTCTTAACCTCTCTTCTCTGGTCATTCTATATCCCCTCCTTGGGGATCTCATTGATTCCCCACATCCTCTAGATGAGACCTTGCTGAAGGTATATTTTTAAAAGAACTCTGGCTTCTCATTGCCAATGGATCAAGTTAAACTTCTTACCATTACGTTTAAGGTCATTTTTGGTCAGGCTCTAGCCTCAGCTTCAATACCAGCCCCACTTCCATATATAGCATATCACAACTCCATTTCCACTGAAATAAGGGGTTCATTCCCCACACTCACCTACAACCCCACATTTACCATGCCTTTAAAAACCCTCTGCTTGTGCTATCCCCTCTTCTGGAAATGTTCTTCTCTCCCCATTCTCCTCCCTTTCTGCCTGGTAAAGTCTTAAGGTTCAGTCTCAAAGTTACTTTCTCTTTAAAGCTCTCCCAAATATAACCAGAGAGAACTCATTACTTTTATATCTATGTCCTTTTAGCACATGACTGTCTTACAAACACTTAAGATCCTTAAGGGAAAGCAAATATCATGTCTTACTCATCCACATGTCCATAGTCACTAACATGGGCCGAGCATGTTGAATTACTCTTCCTCAGCATTCAACTTCCTGTCCCACATACTTTACCAACTCTTCCAACCACCCTTCTTAGTCCTAAAGTTTCTGTTTTATTCTGCCCTCTTAGTAGATTGCCACGGCTGGGCAAAGATCCAGTCAACTTAGTAGCCTAAAAAAAAGGAATGCCAAACCCAAGGCATTCCATTCTGGTTTTTAAAAATGCAGAAAAGGTTTCTTAGTAAAGGAATCTTCCCTAGAAGATCCAAGGAGCATCCCAATCTGGTCTCTCCAACAGTGCTAGCCAGTAGCCAGCACCAGCTTCACACAGAGCTGGTTACGTTTGGGAGTGTTTTAAAGAGGAAATAACTTTGAGACTGAACCTTAAGACTTTACCAGAGAGAAAGGGAGGAGAATGGGGAGAGAAGAACATTTCCAGAAGAGGGGATACCACAAAGACTAAGAGCTAAATCCAGGGCCCCAAAGGAAACTCACTCTTTTTCCGGTCACCTCCAACAGGGAGTTTGGAGGCTGGGATGTATTTCAATGAAACCACCAACTCGCCTTTGTGTGATGGCAAGCCAGTCAGGGACTCAGCACTGATCTGAAACACAGAGAAACCCAACAGGTCAAGCCAGGCTTCTCAGGAATTGCTGGGACCTCTCCCTGAGGGGATTCTAAAGCTACCCCCAAGAACGGCTTCACAGAATATGAGGCTCCTTCTCTTCATGGATACAACTTAAGGTCCCTGGGCTATTGCAGTCACAGGGTTCTAGGGCAGTTTATTCAGAAAGAGATGCAGCAGAACAGAGTCTTCTACACTACCCACTATTATGCCACTTTGGGGTACAGTTACTAGATTCCAAATATTCTCAGAGGTGTCTTCCAGCAAAGTTGCCACACAAACTAACAAAGGGCTGACACCATGACAAAGAATCTGGCTACCAGCATTGTTAGTAATAGCCAAAAAGTAGAAGCAACCTAATTGTCAATAAACATAGGAAGGGTTAAATGAGTAATTTTAATGCACTCGTATGGGATATAGGCATGCAGCCATCCAAAAAAATGCAGTGAATCTAAATCTGTACATGCTGACATGGAAAAACATCCAAGACAAAGTGTTAAGTTAACAAAGGAAGATGCAGGAAAAAATCCCACTTATATTAAAATATATTCATATTTGTACATGTGAACATATGTATACAAATAATTATTTTTATCATTATCACTTATATAGCATTTACTATGTGCCAGGTACTGTTATAAGTACTTTAAGTCTATCTTTTTTTAATCCTCAAAATAGTCCCTATGAAACAGATACTATTATCCCCATTTTACAGGTTATGGAACAGAGAGGTTATGTTCAGACAGACTGGTTCCTGAGTTCATGCTTCTAATCACTGTACTACACTTCATAGAAAACCCCAGGATATAGACATACTTGTTTCCTCTAGATAGGTGAGCAGAATGGGGAAAGGAAAGAGTTTTCCCTTTTTACTCTAATAACAAAGAACTTTCCCTTTTTACTCTATATTAACATCTATAGTGTCTTTTTGTGAGAATGGCATATATCATTTTTATGTTTTGCTTTTTTTTTAAGACAGAGGTCTCACTCTGTTGCCCAGGCTGGAGTGCAGTGACAGCAACCTCAAACTCCTGGACTCAAGAAATTCTCCCACCTCAGTCTCATGAGTAGCTAAGATACAGGTATGTACTACCATGTCCAGCTAATTCTTTTTTTTAATTTTTAATTTTAAAGAGGTGGAGTACAATTCAGGGTTAGGTATACAAATGTTCATCATGCAGGTATCCTTGAAAGTTTTCATAGTGTTCTCTCGGGGTTTTTTTTTTTTTTTTTTTTTAGTAGGAGTCTCACTCTGTCACCCAGACTGGAATGTAGTGGCACACTCACAGCCATCGCAGCCTCGACCTGCGGGGCTCAGTGGATCCTTCTACCTCAGCATTCCAAGCAGCTGGAACAACAGGCGCATGCTATCATGCCGGCTAATTTTTTGATTTATTGTAGAGATGAGGTCTTGACAAGTTCCCCTGGCTGGTCTTGAACCCCTGGGCTCAGGCAATCCTCTCACCTCAGCCTCCCAAAGTGCTGGGATTACAGGCATGATCCACCATGCCTAGCCTTCAGCTAATTCTGAAAACTGCAGGCTTAGGCAATCCACTTGCTTTGGCCTCCCAAAATGCTGGGATTACAGGCTGAGCCACTGAGCCCAGTCAATACATTGTTAAATGGGGAAAAAAATCAAGAGATATATAAGCCACAGGGTTCGTGAGAGCCCATTTGTATAAAAAAGAAAATATATATAAATCTATAAATGTATCTGTGCTGCTTAATACAAAATTTCTAGAAGGAAACCCAAGTAATTGTTAACAGTGGTTATTTCTAAGCAATGGGACCTACTTTTTAAATACACTTTATGTTGTTTTAATTTTGAACCATATGCATATAAATCCTTTTACACTTAATTTTCTTAACCATAGTAAAAAATTCAAACATTAAAAAGGGGCATATAGAAAAAACTAAATCTCCCTTCCACTTCAGTCTTCATTCCTAGCAGCAGCCACCATTCTAGTTTCTTATCTAGCTTCCCAAAGATAATCTATGCACCATGTATTGTTTTAAACACTTAAAATACTACTGTAAAAGAAGAACTTTGTCCTTTCATTGTACAGTTTTGATAATCAAGAAGTTGCTGACTCAGTCCTCTGTTTTAGCAACTTCATCTTAACTAGACTGACAGCAAGCTACTGAATGTCCATCATGTGCCAGTTACTGACTGGCACTTCATACGCAGTGCTGCAAAAGAGGAATACTATTGTTATCTTCATTTTATAGATGAAAAAACTAAGGATCACAGAAGTTAGGTGACTTCCCTAAGTTATTTTATAAGTTAGATGACTAACCTAGCTGGCAAGTGACAGAACCAGAATTCCAATCCAGGTCCACACTCAGGTCCCAAGCATGATTATGCCCCACTGCTACACTCTTGCTTGAGATGCCATCTCCAAAGTAAAATTTTCCCTGGTCTGTGTAACAAACAGTACAGCAATTGGAGCTCCATGAATAGTTTTACTTTCTCCTTCTTTAGTAAGAAGTTTAGCTTGGAAAAGGGGTACACATTAGGATACACCCAGAGGGTTAGTTTGAAGAAGAGGTGCCAAGTTAGGATGTTAGGACACACTCAGATTATGGAAGGTTAGGAGGCAAAGCTTGGTACACATAAGAAAAACTTTTAAAAGCAAAACCATGACTTCATACTTTGATTGGTTTACACAAAACTCACACTTAGCAAGTGCCTCTGAAATCGCTGTCAAACTCAGAAACCCCAGCAGGGTGTGCTAGAACCCTAGAGAAGACTACATTCAAGGACACTACCAACCATAGACCAGCAGAGGCCACTGCAGAGAATTCTACCTCAGACCCAAGCTGCAGAAGTTGTTAAAGCAGACTACCTTTCCATGTAAAGGGAGGCAATGATCCGGTTTCTTATCAAGTTTCCAGGAATCCATTTGAATCTCTGCCTCTCCAAGAAAAGTGTTTCTGCCAAAACGACCATGATGCCAAACCGAAAACTGCAAGGTCCTCTGGGCCAGGAGAGATTCTGGGATCTCATACTGTGAAGGAAAAGTAGAAGCCCAAGATGATTAGTTAGTGGTAATTTCTCAGAAAAGATTATTTTAAACCTGAACAACCATACCCAGAGTCAACAGTCCTGAATACCAAATTATTTTAGCCCCTAAGCACTTTGAGTTGAGTTTCCTCACTCAAAGCCTCTACTTACCCATTTTTTTAAAAACCTACCAAATTCCATAGGAGAACTTGGAAAATTAATTAATTTTTCCTGGAGTGAGTGAGAGAACACTGGAACATCCAAAAAGAATTGCCAAGGAGACTCCTTCTCTCAAATGACTTTTTAAAATGAGATGTGTGGCTGTGTGGATCTACAACTTCACAATGATCCAGGAAAGCCAGATCATCTCTGTTCTCTTCTCTGGGAGATCAGAATGTGAACAGATGCCCAGAGTATATCTTCAGAAACAGACATGGCCCATTGAAACCCGTGTCACCCAACCATGTTGCAGAGGAATGGCTACAGCTTAGGACACAAGATAGAACAAGTTTTCCTACCCTCGGAGTCTACATATTTACCCTGAGGGTCTCATCATACAGTGGATTGATGGTGTCCCGCTTGATGCTGGTTTTTCTTTTTCCCTGGCGGGACTTATCAGGAAGAAGATAAGTCTTCACATACCTAGAAACCAAAGAGAGTACTGAGTAAATGGCCATCCTTTTTCAAGCCCATTCTTCACTTCTTTGCTCTCCATATAAATATGCCATGGCAAAATGCAATATCAAAAATGTCACATCAAACCCTCTTAGACACACCATTCTTGCTTTGTCCCAATTCTGCCCCTTTTCTACATCACACCTTCCCTACCCCCACCCCACCCCCCGCCAAAGTGATAAGCTTTGTTCAAGAGTGGCCAGACAGATGCCAGGGTCTGGTCTCCAGTCTCAGAGTATCAGTCAGGTTCTAGAAGCACTCACGGGTTAGACCGCTTCTTAGCTTCATCAGCATAGGCCAGCTGGTGGCACTCCTTCATATGGATGACCAGACTCTGTGTTTGCTGCTCATACTTCAGAGAAAAGGTAATCTTGCCAGTCACAAAGATGTTCCCAAAATCACCAGCTTCACTATAGATGCTCATCATGCTGCCGATTGTACTCTGAAGATAAAGCACCCATGAACATCTAGGGAAGGAACACTCCTCCACCTACATGGCACATATCTTCCCTCTTGATAAAGCCAGTCCCTGAACAAAACAAAAGTTTCTGAAGCCCCTGCAACAAATTAGTACTGCCAACAGTCCTTGACTCAGAGGATAAGACAAAGTTACCAACACACTCACAATGGTTCAGGTTAATAAATCAGTTCATGGTTTACCTAGGCTCTTCATTTTTCTTTCCTTATTTTTATACATTTTAGTGTTAATTTCCACCTGCCTCAGAAGGTGGGCAAGGAGTTGAGATAAGGTGCAGGCAAGTCCATTTTTGTTATGTCATCAATACTAAAACATTGGCTAGAAGGGGTTAGTTACTAATTAAAACAAGGTGCCTTGATAATCTGTGAGTTTCTTTTACCCACCTTATCTCTGTCAAGAATTATAAAGAAAAGAGACTGGCCCAAAATTGGGAGTGGGTAAGTAGGAAGGAAACACTACCAGAAGTGAAAAGTCACCTTCCTCTCTGGCAGTAATCTGTTGTGTGAGTCGACATTCTCTTCCTGTGTGTGAATGTGAACAAACTCTAATCACCCTTGCTTCTGACTCTGTTTCCTCTAAATATCAATCTTCATACTTGTAACAGAACTAGACTCTGGTTCTTAAATGTCCCTTTAACTTCATGATCCTGACTAGTATTGTTGATCCTTAGCTATATGCTGATACCAATTAACCCTGCCAGAGCGCCTCTCAGGACACTTACTTGACTTTAGTGTGGCTATAATGAAGAAATATGATCTTACTTACTTCCTGGCCTGGGTACCTATTTAGGGGAGAAATTAAGGTTTCTGTTCCCAAAGCTGTGATGAAGAATGCCCCTAGCCCTCATTACCTAATGTAATAATCTCCAGGCGAGAGGCTCCAGAAGTCACCTTAGATGTACACTAAGCACCTATGGTCTAAGTTGACAATAGGAACAAACAAATGCATCTCACTTGCCTGGAAAGAATGACTAGAATTATTTCCCCATGTTCTGAGTCTGTTCTAGGGAGATGCTTCTTTTCCTCCTAGTACCCCAGTGTGTACCCCACAGAACTAACAGAACTCACCATGGAGGAGCCACTTTGCATGCTGCTTCTGGCTAGCTTCTGGCGATGCAACTTCACCAGATGGTCAATGTCTTCTTCTTCTTCTTCCTCTTCCCCTTCTTCTTCTTCTTCTTCTTCTTCTTCTTCTTCTTCCTTCTCCTCCTCCTCCTCCTCCTCCTCTTCCTGGAACAATAAATGTAGATTCAGAGTTAATAAAGGCCAGGAAAGCTTCAAAGCCTAATATTTTGCTTTTTGTTTTATTTTTTAAAATCTGAAACAATTTTTTTAATTTGTATATATTCATGGGGTACAAGTGAAATTTTGCTACATTGATGTATTCCAGAGGTCAGAGCCTTTATTGCATCCATCACAGGATCAACACACGTTGTACCCACCAAGCAACCTCCCATCCTCTCCAAGTCTCCATTTCCCATCATTTCACACTCTGCTTCCACGTGTCCACACTATATAGCTCCCACATGCAAGCAAGAACATGCAGTATTTGAAAAGACTAATATATTTCCTTTAGTGGGAAACATAATTGTTGCAAAGCTCTGAAGTGTCATATGTATGTGTATGCACATATTCATATTTTCATATCTCCCCATTTTAGGCTTCCCAGCTCTATTTCAACGATCTGTCTTATATCTCAAAAGAATCAGAATAGTTAACGCTTTTCATAGGAGCTATAACTCTCATTTGACTGCCCAATCCAGCTATCTCTTTACATTTTAATCAAAAGAATTATTTATTTGAGCCCCAACCATATATCCAGCAATGTGTTACAAAAACAAAGAGATAGCAAAGACAGCTCTTTCCTTTAAGCGAATCATGAGCCAAGTTTACTTTAGAAATGTGGGGGAATCACAATTCATGTTGCCTTTTCCTAAAGAATTAAACAGATCGATTGAGAGCATCAGGTCCTGAAGACACTCTAAATACATAAAGTTTCATACAGTGGCCAAGGGCACTTACCATATCCACACTGAGGCCTGGGACAGATTTACTTCTGTCTCCCAAGGAGCTACTTTCATGCCCCACATCTTCTGGGCGAAGATCTATCACAGATTTAGTGTATTCTAAGTGGAAGATCAAAAACCCAAATCAAAAGAGACTTATTCTTCTCCATACTAGGAGCCCATCAAAGGTGCTCAGTACTTCAGTCCCAAAAGACCATAAAGGGAAACCAGCTACCTGAAGGCCTGAGAATTTTTCTGGTGTTTTTCTTGAATATCATTTCATCCTCATCAACAGATATCACATTTTGACCCCCAGGCTGAGTTTCCTAGGAAGGAATAAGGAAGGGCAAGGAAATGGAAAAGGACAGCTGGGTAGGTGGAAGGAGTAAGGAAAGAAGGATAGCCTTATGAAGAATAAGGTTCAGATGTTCACTACACTATGATTAACTTAAAGGAAAGATTAAATGCCTAGAAGTAGTACAAAACCTATTTTCTTACACATTTCAACCAAAACCTTATAAAATGTCCCCGAGTGAATCTGAACTTAAATCTGTTTAGTTGAATTCCTGATTTAAATTCTACCTGAGGAAAGAAAGGGAGGGAGTGAGGGAAGGAAGAGGAGAGGAGAGGGGAGGGGAGAATGGAGGAAGGGAGGGAAGGGGAGGAGGAGGGAGTGAGGTAGGGAGGCAGGCAAGGGGAGAGAGAAAGAAAGGGAGGGTGAGAATGGGAAGGAAAGGCTGAAGGAGGACAGAGAGAGGAGAGAGAGGGGAGGAAGGAGGGAGAAAATGGAGTGAGGGGGAAGAAAGGGAAGGAAGGAAAGGAAGGACAGGAAGGCAGACCAATAGCCTGAAGCTTACCTTTTCTACTTGAGATTTGGGGGCAGACATCTTCTTCCATTCTGGTAAGAGGCCAGATTTATCCAGAGAGTCTCTCCTGGAGGTAGATTCAGAAGTTATAACTAAGTCACCCTCTCCCATTTCCTTTCTACCCAGGGACCAGAGCTCTATGGAAGGAGAGCTACTGGCTTGGGGTGATCATAGTGACCAAATCCAGAAGGTTCACTCCACATCTAATTTACCTTGGAGGAATGCAGAGAATGAGATAGACAACTATGCACAAACACAAAACACACTGCCATTCCTAAGGGACAGCAGCATCAGTTGCTGCTGGGCTAGAAACAATCCTCCAAGGTGCAGCAGCCTGGAGAAGTTAATACACTCAGAGCAAAATCAAGGGAAGTGCTACTGAAGGACTTCTGATGAGGTCAGAGAAAACACTTTACTTGATTGCCTGAGGACAGAAATCATGAGCACTTGAAGGTATAAGAGCCCTGCATTCTGATGTTGAGAACAAAATGGGAACCCAGGGTTGAGTGCAGGTGAGGGAAATGGGTGGAACCTCACCTGGATGTGCTATCTGAGTCAGCTGTGTAGCTGTCCAGACTCTCACTCTCAGCCTCCAGCACACTCTTTCCACTTTTCAGCTTTGGCACTTCAAGTGGCACGCTAGAATAAAAACCAAAAGCCAGTATTTAAAGGAAGCAGGCTCTCCTATCTCTAGTCAGACCTCCTTCTAACTCATTCACAATGGTAGCCTGAGTGCTCTTGTAAAATAAATGAGTACGCTTTTTAAAAAATTAACTAATTTATTAATTGATTGATTTAGGAGATGGTCTTGCTACGTTGCCCAGGCTGGAGTGCAGTGGCACAATCATAGTACACTGCAGCCTCTAACACCTGGGCTCAAGCAATCATCCTGCCTCAGCCTCCAGAGTAGCTGGGACTACAGGCATACTGAGTACACTTGTAAAACTCTTCAGTGATTCCCCATTGCTGTTGGGATTGACTTCAAACTCCTTAGCATGGCAAGAAAATCCTTAGGATTTGGTCCCTGCTTGCCTCTCCAGCCTCGTCTTTCACCCTCCACTCCTCCTCATGTTTTATGTTCCAAAAAAGTGAGATTCTTTTGGTTCCATGAATATCCCAAAGCTTTCCCTCTTCCCTCTTTTCTCTGCCTGGGATTTTTTTCACAGTGGCAACTTTTCTTCACATGACTAAATCTACTCCTTCTTCAGATCTCTCCTTATATGTCGATTCCTCTGGATCTCTCTGATCATGCCCAACCCCAAGTCTGACTTAGTTACCCTCCTATGTACTCCCAAAGCACCCTGATTTCTTGGTAGCACTCATCATATACATAACTATTTATTTATGCCTTTTAAACAAAGAATATTTAATTTGTTCAACAATTTAAACAAATGATTTGTTTAGTGTATTGCTCCTCCATTAGACTAAGTTCCATGAGATCAGTGACCATATATCTTGTTGACTGCTGTGTTCTCAATGCCCAGAAGAGAGACTAACATAGAGCAGGTACTCAAATATTTGTTGACTGAATTCTTGAATAAATGCCCATATATCCATAAATAAGCAGTATATTTGGAAGACCAGAATTCTTTTTCAGCTTAATCACCTTAAATGAAAAATCACCCTGGGCATTCAAAATGGCAGTCCTTATCTCTAAAGGGAAGAACACCATTCCTGGGCCCCTTACCTCAAATAATCAGTGAAAGCAGCAGGAAAATAAAAAATTCATTCTGCCTCAAGTTTCTCAAATAATTTTCCTTGGCTGCCAGGACACCACACTCTCCTGGTTTCCTCTTCAGACCTCACTTGCTGCTGCTTCTCAGTCTCCTTTGCTGGTCCCTCTTCCTCTCCCAGACCTCTAATATTTGGATTACATCCAGGCTTCTTCCTTGGGCTGCTTCTCTTCTCTATCTAAAATTATCCTTAAATGATCTCATCTAGTCTTGTGGCTTTAAATATCCTCTATAAACTAATAACTCAAATTTATTTCTTACTCAAACTCCAGACTTGTTTTTCCAACAAACTAATCGAGTCTCTATTTGGGTGTCTCAAACACAGCAAGCCCAAAACCAAAGCCCTAATCTTCCCCCAAACTTGCTCTTCCCTCAATCTCATCAAATGGCAACTCCCTCCTTTCATTTCCCAGATCAAAAAGCTTAAGAACCATGCTTGACTCTTCCTTCTTTAACAATACAAAACAAATCTGTCAGCAAATCCTCTTGGCTCTATCTTTGATGTATATCTAAAATCTGACCAGTTTTCACCCACTCACTGCCATTACTCTGGTCCAAACCACCACCCTCTAGCTCCTGGATGGTTGCAGCAACCTCCTAACTAATCTCCCTGCTTCATGCAATCTATCCATGCCACAACAGCCAAAATGTGCTTTTAAAATATAAATCAGACATAGAATCACCATATGACCCAGTAATTCCACTTCTAGGCTTAGACCCGAGAGAACTGAACAACATATGTCCACACAAAAACATTTATATGAATGTTCACAGCAGCATTATTCCTATAGCCAAAAGATGGAAACACCTCCAAATACTCATCAATGGATGACTAGATGAACAAAATATGGTCCATCCGCATTATTCATCCATAAAAGAGAATGAAGTTCTGATACATGCTGAAAGATGTACATGGATAATACATGGATGAACCTTTGAGACATTATGTTAAGTGAAAGAAGTCAGACACAAAAGGCCACATGATATATGATTGCATTTATATGAAATGTTCAGAATAGAAAAATTCATAGAGTCAGAAAGTAGATTAGGGGCTAGGAGAAATAGGGAGTGACTGCTTAATTGATATGAGGTTTCTTTTTGGGATGATGAAAGTGTTTTGAAGTTAGATTGTGGTGATGGTTGCAAAACATTCTGAAAGTACTAACAGCCACGGAATTGCACACTTTTAAATTGTTAAAACGATGATTTTATGTAACATAAATTTTACCTCAATTTTTAAAAAGAAGAAAAATTAAAATTGTGTCCCTCAGAGCCATCCTTCTCACTCAGAGTAAAATAATACTTAAAAGTATCACCAAAGTCTTACACAATCTGCTTTTCATTCCATCTCTGTCCTTATCCTTTCCCATGATCCCCTTGCTCACTGTAAGTTAATTGTCTAGTCATTGACTCTTTTCCCCTATATCTGGCTTCTTTCTGCCTCTCTCCCAGGAAGCAGCCCCAGGCCAAGGCTGATCTCTGCAGGATACACATATTTCCAGCAATGAGTCATGAGGTACAGGTAACTGAACAGAGTTGAGAACAATGTGGATGGCACCCTTACTCACTGTGATTATAAATACCGTGTAGCAAGTTGAATAATTAACTTGCTTGACTGTAAAACTATTTGCTGTATTATTTCTTCACCAAATGTCCACCATCGGTGTCTCCTGTAAGTTCTAATAAACCAATGTCTTTCCCTGCTGGACCTCTGGGTGACTTCTTTGGAATATGTAAAAAATCTTACACACAAGCCCTCTCAGATTTGGGGCTGCCATGTTACACTCACTCAGTTCCAGATTACTCAAAAGGGCCAAACACAAACTCACCTTAGGATCTCTATATCTGTTGCTTTCTCTGCCTACGATGATCTTCCCCTATATACCCTCAGGGTTTACTCCCTCATTTGCTTTGTCTTTGCACAAATGTCATCTTATTATTAAGAATTTCCCTGGCTATTTTAAAGAAAACGGCATATGTATACACATGCATTGCCGGCACTCCCTATACCTTTAGTCTACTTAATTTTCTCCATAGCACTTGTCAATATCTAATAACTATATGTTTACTTGATTATTTATTTTCTGTGACCCCCCCCCCATCTCCCCAAACCTAAGTCCCACAAACAAGTGACCTTTTTATATTCACCAATGTATCCCAGTCTCTAAAACAACATCCGGCACATAGTAAGCATTCATAGGTATTTATCAAACAAACTAACAAATGAACAAAGAATGAGGTAAACAAAATCTATAATGCCTTAGCCAGCAAATAATAAACTTTCCAAGTTGTCACACGAAGTTTGAGATAGTTCTGTGAACAGCAGGGTTGAAATCCTAGAACATACAAGAGGTGAAACAGTGGTCACTCCTCGAGAGATGTATTAGCTTCATGGTACAGGACACAGCAAGGACGTTGATTTCATTTTTTACTTTAGAATCATTCTTTTCCTCTCTCTGCCACAAAGAGGAAAAAACCTAAGTGAAACCATTCCTCTAGAGAGGTAGTATTAACAGTGGCCCACAGAGAGTGTTTGTTTGCTCATATTTTTTTTCCTAAAGATTAATAAGTACTGATCAAGAACTGATACAAACAACCCTAGGGCAAAAAAAGCAATTATTTGACATCTGTGCAGTAAAAATAGACTAAGAGATGGGAGCCCTGGGCTCAAACTATCTATATGATCTCAGGTAAATCACTTATCCTGCTTTCTTTTCTGTAAAAATAAAGGGGTTAAATTTAATTATCTCTGAGGCTCCATAATTTTATGGAAAGAATCATTTATGGTCACTTAATCTGTTTTCATGTTTAGGATAAATAAGAGTCTTCTGGGTCCAATGAGACAAGAGGTCACAGATAGCCAGAAGCAGTAGGCTTCAGAAATTACATTCTGACCGATGATGTCAGATGTGTTAATCAGGTTCAGCAAATAAAAACCATTCTTATCCTTAACCACAAAGAAAAATGGGGGTCTCATTACTTGGAACAGATGAGTCAACCACCCAAGGCTGTGTGGATAAAATCACAGAACATATATATATAATGAAACACCATACAGGTATCAAAAAGAATGTAGACCCTTGTTGCTAACATAGAAAGATGCCCATGTTAAATTTTTCTACATTTTTTTCTTTTATACCTTGAGTTATAGCTAATATAAATAAGTTGCACATGTTTAAGTGTGCAACTTGGTAAGTTTTGACATACATGTACAACCATCAAATAATCATCACCACAATTAAGTTAATGAACATATTGATCACTCCCCAAAGTTTCTTCCTATCCCTTTCTCTTTTTTTAAAGTTTATTATTTTTTTTAATTATAAAGATGTAGGGTACAATTCAGGGTTAGGTATACAAACATTAATTATGCAGGTACCCTTGTTGATGAGGTACACCCCTCCCTCCCTAGCAGTTTCCCTCAACTGCCAATCCCATCCCCCTCCCCTGACAGTTTCCCATTACTGCCAAATGCTTTCTTATAGTATTATAATTGTTCAGGGTCCGCTTATGAGTGAGAACATATGGTACTCTGTTCTTTGTTTCTGTGATGAATCACTGAGTTTGATCGACTCCAAATCCATTCAAGTTGCTACGAATTCCATATATTTGTCCTTCTTTATGGCTGCATAATATTCCATTGTGTATATGTACCATATTTTCTTTATCCAGTCCAGTTTCGATGGGAAGCATGGTTGGTTCCATGTTTTTGCTATTGTGAACAGAGCTGCAACAAACATATGTGTGCGGGTACCTTTTTTGTAGAATGATTTGAGCTCCTCCGGGTATATTCCCAAAAGAGGGATTGCTGGGTCATATGGAAGGTCAATTTCTAGTTCTTTCAGAAATCTCCAGACTGTTTTCCAGAGAGATTGTACAAGTTTGCACTCCCGTCAGCAGTGTAGA